TTATTTCATTCATTCAATCAATCAATCATTTGTGACAGCCTTTAAAAAATCTGAAATCCTCTATTTAAATATGAATCATTTTTTAATTTTACCATTAATAAATTTTATTTAATTAATTTCTTAACTTAAATGATTTATTTTAATATCATAACAATGAATTATATGGATTTTTTCGTTTCGTTTCTTAATAAAGTTGGAAAATTTTACATTTCAACATTCATCCGTTTGAATATATGAATGAAACATATTTACCGAATAATAATGAAATTCTAATCTGTCGAACAACAATAGCAATAATACCGCAGATATCTGAGTATTATTGCTATTGTAGTAATGAGGAATCCGTTTTGTTTTGAGTAAATTATGAACATATAGGTGACAACATTACTATTATTATTTTTATTATAACATTAGTATTTTAAATTTTGAAATTTTCAGCTGGAATCGGTCCTCCAATTCCGGCAGTTATCCTGAAGAAGAAACGCAGAAAAAGGCATCGACGCCCAAAAGCTAATTTGTCTAGCGTTATTGAAGTAATTTCGATATATTTTGCAGATAAAAAAACATATGCATATAATATATTGGAATATTTCGTTTTGTATTCATTTAGACTGATTTAGTATTAAATTCACATTAAATTACTTTTTGTACAATGTGTTTATGCTGATTTCAAATTTCGATTTATCAAAATAGCTTGATTCATTATCAATAAGATATTTTCATGCCATTAAGTTTGCATATTAGTCTTTTTAGTTTTTTACTCTCAATCATTTATATTTCTTTGGCGTAATTAAAATTTAAAAAAAAAAAAAGGAAAACCCCCCTATACAATTGTTTTAGTTAAACTTCAAAGTTTTTTTTTTCACGAAATCTCAAAATCTTTTCAATTTCATTCACAGCTGTAATGAATTTTTGTAAAATTACAGAAAGTAAGTGGTGGTAGTTTCTGCAGCGGGTTGGAGGTATCTGAAGGTGAATCAACTCAAGCACAACTTCAAGCAACATCTTCTGAACCAAATTTAAACAAGGTTACTTTTATTTTTCTCTCGATTTCATTAATATATCTATTTTAAAACTCAAAACAAAATTTGCTTGATATCAGATCTAACAAGAAATATTTTGTCATTCAGCATCGATAATAAAGAAGAAACACATCAGACATATTCGTAACTTTTTATAAATTTTTTGAAAAGGCTAACTCAAAACTGTTTTAGTCAATTGACCCTATGATTAATTACAGAGCACTGCTTCAACTTAAGAAAAAAAAAATATTTGAGGATTATTTCAATGCACTTCAATATTTGCCTCATTCTTTACTACCGTGAAAGACCTATGTTAAATTTTCTGGAAATCATGGTCGTTATTACATAAAACTGAAGAAAGGAAATAACTGTTGAAATTAGATCAATATTTAGAGTTCAAATAAATACAGATTTTATGAATTAAAATGAAACGTTGTAGAATTCCTTATCAGAACAACCTTCCACCGAAGATGCATCGAATAGTGAGGTACATCCATTTGGTGGTTCATGTCCGGATTTATCAAATTCACAACTTTTACTATGGGATAACTATCTTGTAAGTTGAAACAATTATTTCATTGAACAATGAACAGTCATTTGATAAAATTTGCAGTGAAACTTTTAAACATACTTCTGCAAACTTCCAATAATGAAAGTACCGTTGGTAGTGGCAAAAAAAAATCAAAAATCTATAATATTCCATTCAAATATGCTTAATTTTCTCTCTCATCCAAATCTCGCTGTTCCAAGCAATTAGTAGCAAATTTTAATAGTAATTCATCAATTTGCATCAGCTTACAAACATGTGCGCATAATTAAAAATACTTTTTATAACGCATAATTTTCAAAATTCATTAAAAAAAATTTTCAAAATTTGTTTATTCATTTGTAGTTTGATACTATTATGACTGAAACAAACAACATGATCAATGAAGAGAATGCAAATCAACGAACAATTGATCCAATGCAACGATCAGGTTAATTTTTTTCTTCTCTCTCTCTTTCAGTTATTAAATTAAATTTTTTAATTTAAAATTTAGATTTAGCAAAGAAATATATGTAAGATTCAACAATCAGTTTGGAATACTAAACTTAATATTTTCAATTTCTTGAATAATTTCTGTATATTTGAGAAATCTAAAACTTGAATATTATTATTGATTCAACAATAATAGTCATATTCTAGGATATCATTATAATTAAGGCACTTATTTATTTCAGAATATGAGGTAGCATCACGTCCGGTCCTTGAAGCAATGGATTCTGCCTTGCATGCCGATGGTATCTGTTCCAAAAAAGTTCGACAATTAGATCGCCTCTTACAAGGTTAGGCACATTTATTTAATTAGCACTTTCTTGACGAAAGCTGGAAGCATAATTCTTCATATTCAAGTTAGAAATTCAGTTTCCTATTTCAATTCGCGATGATGCCGTCCAAATTTAATTTATTATGTGAATGGTTATTTTTAAATTTAAGGAAAGAATTGCTATTATAAGTAAATTGAATATACTCAAAATTGTCAAGTTAGAGTACAATTTCTATCAATATTCCTGTTATCTGAGATTTCTCGACATAACTGAAAAGGAAAGCGATGAAACGACATTTCTCTTTTGTATCATCTCTTCGACATTAATTGTTCATTTACTTTTTTAAAATATTTTAACAAAAATTTGAAGGAAGTGGTAGCAATACTGAAGATTCATTGTCTGAGGATGGTCTTGTTGAGCGTTTACGTGATGGATTTGAGAATCAATTTCTCGATTCTCCTGCATCAACAACTAGAAGTTTAAAGGCTGAATTTGAAGAACTTTCATTTAGACCAACAATTTCGGTAAAAATTAATCAAATTAAATGTAACTTTTTCAGAAATTAATCATAATATTGATTTTATTAATTAAAAAAGACCAAATTGTTAAATCAAATATTTATCAAATGGCAGTTATAAATAATCATAATAAACATTTATTTTAGCAATATGGTTATCCGCAAGCAGACTTCTCTTGTCTTCAAATCGCAACATTTAATCCACAGTATAATACTACTGCATCATCAATCCTAAAACCTAAAACGGTAATTATCATCTGATTTATTTTTAACCTCTTTTTTTTAGCATTTTAATTTAAAAAAAATCACCGATATGTATTTTCCATACATTTGCAACAATTTTATTACTTAAAATGATTGGTATTCTCTTATAGATTGGTCGTCATATTGAAGAGGATTACTTTGAAAGAGGACATATACGATTAAATGCATTCAACGATGGTGATGTAAGTATTTCATTTTATTTTTCTCTGTATCTTTGCTTTTATCAAATTATCTGTAAGAAATTTTTTCATAAACAGAATAATACTTCGAAATTACTTCTATTTAAAAAGTTATAACAATTAATTGTTAATTAGAATAATATATCAATTTTTACGTTTATCTAAATTTTTGAGTCCAAACTTTGAATTTAAAAAAGAAAAAAAGAGGAAGATTAATTTTTCAGGATTTAGCTTTATCTGATTCTGAGCTACCGCAATTATCCCGTTTCCAGCAATTGCAATGGGCAATACAACAAAATACGAAATATTACACTAATCTGGCAACACCAAGAAATATGTGTTGCAGTATTATGTAAAATATTAACGATATTGTTACATCAGTAAAAATATGAACCAAAATGCGAACATAGTAATATAAATTATTAAATCCTGATTTATGAATTTAAATAATCAGCTATTTCATTACATCGATCATTGCTATTTTTCCGGGACTATTGATGCAGGAGATTGTAGATGTTGCAAAATGCTTTGTTTCCATTTTTTTTTCTATTTTTTTAAGATTATCAAACTTTTCGGAATTGTTGTCATTTACATACAAAGTTGCAAATACCAAATATGAAAATTTTCAGGAATATATGCTGTTATTTGTTATGCTCTTGAAAAGATCTACTTATTAATTTACATTTATAGTTTTAATTCATGAATTAAAATTTTTGTCATACCATACAACATATATAATTCCCCCATCAAATGACTAATTCTGTCAATCAGTAAATTATCCACATTAAAAAAAGTTGAAAAAGTGCGACAATATGGTACAAGTCAGTTATGAATTTCGGAAAAGTTTTTTTCCTTTTAATTCATTAGCTTCATTTTCAAGAAGTTTACCACATTTACATTTGGCTAAGCAAGAAACCTGAATTAAATCAGTAGGACAAGAAAGAACACTTCAAATATGTTAATGTTGCATCATTGCGAAATGTCTGCTGTGATAATAAAATATTTAATTTAATTCTTCTACTTTGAATTTTTCTTCAAAATTTGAGATTTTCAGTCATATTTTTTCTCAAAATTTTAAGCTTTTTAAAATCAATTATATCATGCATGAGGAATCACCACATCACGAACCTAAATTGGCAATGCTTTAATTATTTTTGATTTAGCTGCTAACCTGAACTGAACTACATTTTTTCGAAATCTGCTGTTAATGTTGATTTCAACCGAATTTAAGGTTTCTTGGGCATGTACTTATATTTCGCTGACAGTTATGTGCTAATTAATTTTAAAATCTTGTAATCTGTTAAGCCGGGTAATTTCAAATATATTCAGGAAATCAACCATGAAACTACTGAAGAGGAAGTAATACTAGTTAGATGCTTGTAACTTCCCCGAATTATCACAGTTAGCAGAATAATGAAAAAGAGTTAGTACAACAACTGAGACCTGTAGTGGAAAGTAACTAATCATAGTATATCAATGAAGCTGCGATCTGCTACAATTTTATTTTGAGAAATTCTTTCAGCAAAAAAAGTTGAGTAAATTCATTTCAAAAAATTTACAAAAGATTATTTGTCACTATCTGCGCACATTTCACAATGTAACACGTAATCTATGACTGTGCATACGATTCACACGTTTCTATCATACATAACTCCTCAGAAACAAAAAAAAAAAATCATTAAATCAATTTCGTTCGTTCAATTCATGCAACGATTGATGAATAATCGGTAATTCATGAAACTATTAGTTTTCACTCTTAAACTCATTTAAATGCAATCGAACGATGTGAACTATCATTTGCCACCGTACGACTTCTCACAGCAATGCACGTCAACTAAAACATCGCTCGTGTAAAGACCCAACTAACTCATATAACTTTTCAGCTGCAGACTTTCGTAAATTTCTTGTCGAGAGCTGCAATAAACGAGCGAGATGAAGATGAGTTAGTTTCAGGTTGGTGGCAAAGTTTAACGGGCCGTAACCTGAATTGTGGATTTTAATTCCGGTTTGGAAGTTGTTGGTGTGGTTGTTGGCCCATTAGATTGGTTTTGATTTATGAGATGTGATTTTAATTTGTTGATATTGGTGGAATTCAGGCCTGAAATGACAAATTGTGGACCGTAGCGGTTGGTTTACTGTGATTTGTAATAGTGGGTTCTAGTCTAGTTTAATAAGGATTGTAATCTGATTCAGCAGAGTATTATCAAGATTAGTTGCTTGTAAACTCGATAACCAGATTATCGTGGACGTGTCTGAGTTGATGCATTGTAACCTGTAGTGATGGGTTGTTAATTATAATGGTCATGGATGAGATTGTTGGACTTCTTGTACATATATATACTTCACATCTTATAATGACACTAATTTTACAATAGTTATTGATTTCGTATTCTTTTTGAGTCACTGCCACCATCTATTTAACCTGTTCGCTTTAGATTGAATATTGATTTGATTACCGTTATCGTGTGTATGTGTGCATATGTGTATCACTTATTGAGAATAATTGTGTGAGATGGATGATGTTGTATCGGTTAGGCTTTGTCAGATTTAAGTATCTCATTTTTTCATAGGTCATAGGATCGCTCAGCAATGTTAGTGTGCAAACAAAACCATGAGAAAGAAATCACTTTCTCCCAAAGCGATTAATTAATTGTTGACCTTATCCAGCAATAATTTACTTCTCCAACAGTGATGATTTCCTGCATAAATATAATTAATGCGTAATGACATGCGCGAAATATTGAAAAATATGTATGTAACATTAGGATTGTGCAAGATATCCAAATACATTGAACTGTGGTCTGTCTTATTTTTCCGACGAGATTTATTTCATCGTCTTAGTTGCAGTACTTCGAAAGAAGCTAACAACGCTTATTTTTCACGTTAATGTAGGTACTAGCGAAGTTACTAGTGATTCAGATAATCTTTACTGTCGCAGTAGCAATCTCATTTTGACGCACTTTGCTATCTCTTCAGCTTATAACTATCGTACAATTTTTTTCGAACACAGTCAAATCGCAATGAGGTAAATCAGTAACGCTAAAAAAATCGTTTCGTGTCGTTTTTGAAAAGTATTGGAGGTTTATTAAATCATCTAATAACTGCTTGATTACTGAAACATGGAACTACATTGTGATTGGATCCGGAATTTTCATTATTTATGGCAAACAATTTCATCACAGTATGTTTCTGGACTGAAAACAGTCACATGTCAAATACAGTGTTGAGTTAGCTGTCCGATGGCGTTCACAGTGCTAAAACTCGAATCATTGCATCTGATGTTTCAAAATTTTTCAGTATAATATGTTTTAGCTCCTTTTTTCTCTTAGCGCTATGAAATTACTACGATCTTCACTTTGACTTTGTGTTCAATTCTTGCTGATTAAATTGATGGTGCTTTTTGATTTTGAATTTCATAAAGAGTTTTTGTTTCCAGGAAGAATATTTCTGTAATATAAGGAAAATTACTATCCTTTCATCTAATTGGATTGTAGCTGCTATCGTGTAATGCCCGCGCGGTAAGTATTTAATTTCATTTCCCAATTTATCTTGCATGGCAAAATTTTATTGTCTAGTTATTCGTAATACAGTGTCCCACTATAAAATACATTAGTTTATCTTAAGCATTATTGAAAAGGTACTCTGTTGACCATGTTTGGGTAGAATGACAACTTTGTCCTTTTATTCCATTATTGCTCTTCGTTTGTCATACAAGAATATCTAAATGAGGAATATCTTGCAGCATTTTTTCTCTGGGAAACGAAACTTGGAAATAGTGTTTATATAAAATCGGCAGGTTAAGCGAACACGAAAAATAAAGATTAAAATTGAAAGACTGAAACTACTTTAAAATTTTAGGAAAAGTGCGGATGAAATTCCTGCAGAAAAGTCGAGTGAGTTGAAGCATCTGCAGGTATCCAATCTGATTCTTTTGTTTTTTGCAATCATCCGTATTTCACGCAAAATTATAAATGAGAAATTTAGTTTTTCTTTTAGGCGTTCCTGCTAATATTAGTAGAAGTATGTCATTTTTTTTTGAGGACAGTTTGACACGATTTTTCACCCCTACTAATCGGAGACGCTCTCGAGTTGCACAGTCATCATTCTCGTTGGAAAGTTTTGAACCTGGCGCTTCATCACGGACCACGTGGAAAAGTATCGATTCCAAAAAGGTCGGGAACATCAAGTTTAGATTTTGGAGTTTTTATATACTGGATTTCTTGCGTTCTATGTTTCCATAAATGTCAGATTTCAGGATTCGAGTAAGGAGAGAACTCGACGAAGCCCAAGATCAATAAGAAAGATTTCAGCAAAAGACATCAAAAAGAATGTTATTTCTGGAGACATTAACAAAACAGGAGGAAACAGAATTGTAATTGAGTGTTATTCTTTCTTAAATCTTTTCCCAGTGCAAAATATAGATTCTTTTTATCACATATACAAAAAATGAACGAGATAATTTTCACATCACCACATCATTTCAACTTAAAATGTTTTAGCACCACTTTTCTGCTATCTCTATTGATACGAAGCATGGTGATTTGCAATCTACTCCTCCTCAACCTTTTACAAGTTCATCGTTAAAGTCGGGTAAATTTTAAGAATTATTCTCTAATACTGTTTTTGAGCTAACATAGAATATTTAATTGATTTTAGCTCTTTATCCTGATTATAAAGCATTTTAAGTTTAAGCTAAATCGTTTAAGTTATAGGGCAATCAACACCATCACCACATCGTCGTACGGATGCATTGTTTGATGCGCTCTCTCCATATTTTAGCGCGGCTTCCGAGAAAAGGCGGACTTTTTCAAAAGTATATTTTAATTTTCTTGCTCATGATGTCTGGTTATTTTTCATTTCTTTATTAATCAGAGTCTTTTTTCATGAGTTTTTCCTCGCATTTTCTGAAGACAGTTCATAGCTTTTCTTCTAGTAGATTCAAAGTAATGAATATACTCACATTGCAGGGACAGTATGTTCATCTTTCTGGTGGCCGTACAAGAACAAAAAGTGGAGAGAGCAGTGTGATTCATGGTTCTTCTTTCATCTACCAAATTACTGTGTGAGAGAGGAAATATTAAGTAGATAGTAATTTGTAATTTTTCTTATTAAGTTTCACTTTTTTCAGAAGAGGGTGCGTTTTCTCCAAGTTGTGTACAGCAACCACACACCAGTGCAGCTGCAACATCGAGCGAATCGCAAGATGAACTTCCTGGTACTGAACAACGACGGTATAACTTACATCACTTAATCAGTCTCTTGATTTTGTCAAAGTTTTACTGGCTCAATATGAATGCCGAAGGAATGAAACATTGCTTTTCTCCTTTCTTTTGCTATCTGCAACTTACTTAGAAAAGCCAATAAGTATCTGTAATTTTTTAAAGGAATATTATACGTCCAGCAAGGAAGAGGCGTCATTTGACACATGTAAGTGAACCAGCAACATCATATCAAAATGTCCCATCGTCTATGTGTGCTCGAATAAATGAAAACGCAGAAGAACGTCATTCAGTTCGAAATACATCTTTATTTCCGGTAAAACCAAATGCTTTACTCAATTTTGAAAATCTTGACTTTTATTTTGCATGATTTTTCATGATTTGGTTTTTCATACCAAATCATTTAGGATATTGACTTTGGCGCTAGTTTATTTATGGCATAAATAATGAAGTTAAGAGTTCCATCCAATGTACAGTTCATAATTGAGAACTTTTAGCTACACATATAAGCATGCAGTTCTCGTACTACTGTTTTATGTATTGGTTTTTATAAACCTCTCTTGAATTTTTTTCCATGCCACGAAACATCTGGACGGCTTCTTTTCCCGAGCTGTTCATCATCCTTGATCCTGACTTGCAGCAGTTACGCGTAATTGTTTTATATGAGATGAATTTTTGTGTTTTAAAACTTTTCAAAATCTTTCTTGCACTGATTTGAGATTGTAAATTTTTTATGGTAATGGGTCTTAGATCGAGTGTTCCTCGCGGAGTTCTGGACTGCGACATTTACCACTGCAGTCATCATCCAGTTTGAAAAGTTTGGTTCCTAAAGGACTTGTATCACAACGGAGATTGCGGACTGCTTCGATCATTCGAAAGGCCAAGTCGCATAAAACACGCTTGAAACTGCGCCAGTCATTATCTCCTCGTATAGTGACAAGGTTTCTTTTTGAAACAGTTCCATTTCTACAAATTTCATAACTTACATGGAACCAAACTTTGCACAGTCGGTCAATCTTAGGACTGTCTAGATAAGTTTAGCATTTTGAGGACGTTTCATTTTCTTTCTTTTTTTGAACGTTTATTTCGTAATCTTTTCTGATTGATCGTTTTTCTATGAGTTTCCATTTCTATGGGTATTTTACTGTCGTTCAAAATATCTCGTATAGGGTTGTCGCCACTTTCTTGTTCCACATTCTTATTTAGGAAACGTGTGGTATCACTTCGTCAGCCTCATTTGGACGAATTAAACATGTCAGGAAGAACGGTTTCATTGGCGGAACCAGTGACTATAACTAGTGAAGACCGAGAATTATACAACGCTGCTCGCAATTTGGCTGGATTGGTATGTTTTTAATTTTTCTATATAAAGCGTGTCCATTAATCATGTTTGGAAAGAAATGTTCCTGATGAATTTTTGGAAAAAGGAAGTTTTAAAAAGACTCGAAGATCAAAAGGACCATTCTGAGAAACTTCAGACATTTTCCAACTATTTTCGTCATGCCTAAATAAACGTTGTGTTTTGTCTTAAAAAATATTTTGATTCGGGAAAGCAGATTGGTGTTCCACGGTGAATACAGTTGAATAGATTTACTCGAAAGTAAATTGGAAATATTGATAATAAATGCTGATATGTTGATGAGTACTCCGATTCCTGATGATTGATTTTGGACTTAGTCGAATCTTTTTCCAAGAACGCCCACACATTTTGTTTATGGAAAAAATCGCAGTCGATCTGTGAGTATATATAGTTCCTAACGTAACTGTATGTACTCAGCGTTGGGCATCAATAGAAATCATGTAGAAATGTGTAATAAGTCACGCGGATCATGAACATATGATGAGATAAATCGGTAATAGGCAATGTCATGTTATGAAGGAAAAGAAAGAAGCAATGGGAATAAAGGAGATTGTTTGATTGCTACTAGCCACATTTGTTATTATGCATAAAAATACAGCGAACATTCCAACGGCCGAAAATGTTATAAAACAGTAACTATCAGTGACATTCGGGGAACACTAGAAATAGAGTATCACGTGATAAGAAATTAATATTGGTGAAAAATGACAAAAGCAATTTCCTTATCAAATAAGTGTCTGCGATATCTCTATTTATGTGAATATTTTATATCACAAACGGGTTTCTTGACACTCCTGCTTGAGCAACATTGAAATTATCGAGAAGAGTTTGAGTTTTACCGCTGTTTTGTTGCACCCATTTGTCGTAGAGCAATAGGTTCCTCTTGACCGATTTATTTCATTGGTTTCTCGAAAACATTGAAGATTTCTTCTTGAGTTGAAATCATCGTCAGTTTCTACAGGATGTAAAACATTCACCACTCTCTTGAGGAGTTCTCACGTGACATTTCTATGATAGCATTCCTTACCTCTCCATTCTTCCCTTTTTTAATTTTTCTTTTGTTCTGCCAACTTCCACATAACGCTTGGAATTTTTGGTTTGTTGACTAAGACAGTTTTTCCCACGTAGGGTATTTTTACTTCTGCATTTTTCGAGGAGGCGCGTTCTCTTTGGGTTTATTCTCTAAAATTGTTAAGTATTCGTTCTTCCATATTTCCCAAAATGTATCCAAGGCTTTGAGTGTGTTTGGTCAACACATAAGTTTTTCCTTGGCATTTAATGTGAGGAGTAAGTTTTTGATAATTGTCGCTAGCAATTCGAATAACCAGAAACGAGATGAAATTAATTGAACGTACAATTAAATGTGCACCAAAGTTTATGCAAGTTAGAGTAGTGAGTATTCCTTCGATTCCAACCACTGGCGTTATTCGTTCTCCCACAATAGCTTTCTGCCAATAGTTCTCATAGTTCTTTGAGTTGATTCAATGATTCTTTCGTAAAACCCTCTGCTCCCTTAGGGCTCTTGGCACTACATTGTTTCAAACCATTCCCCTTTTTGCAAGGAAATTCGTTAATTTGGCATCCTGTCCCATAATAATCCTAAAAACTAATTGAAATTAGCTTGCACTAGCGCTCAAGATTGATTAAGGATATCCTCGTCGTGCAATGAATGTGCGAAAAACTTTCGGCCGATAGGTTCTTCTAGCTCTAAATACATCACTCTCATTGTAATGTGAATAGACCTATCATTCATTATCAACCTATTATTTTGGTTACACCGCTACCCTTTTTGCCAGATAGGGAGCCCAGATAATCTAGGGCTACCTACGCAAAGGTTCTAGGGCGATTTACCCGATTTACTGCAAGATTGGACAGGACTGTAATCGTGGTCTATCGTTTACAAACTATACACTTCAAAACTCGTTCAATTTCGGTTTTATCTTTAGGTATTCAAAACTTACGTTGCATTTCCGCAGCCGTATGTACAATTCCAGCATGGAGCAAATCTTCATGATACTGCTTTATGAGGAGCTCAGTTATTGGATTGTGCGTTGAAAAACAGGATGTTTGTTGTCATCCTCTAATTCAGAATTCTCCAATCAACTCTGGAATCTCCATAACTCCTTCAGCTTCTGCCCGTTTAAATCAACATTCATTCTGCCAAGTTGTAGTCTTCGTTTGGATTTTTCTAATCGAATTCGTAGATCTTTCCTAGCCGATAGAGCTTGTAATCAACAGGTATTTCCTTTTGTCCTATTTTTATATACCTGAGAAGCACTCATATGATCGTTTTTAATAATTTTCGCCATTTGCTAAAGGATTTCCATCTATAAGTTCAAAATTCTCTTTAATGAGTTGTAACTTTTGCGATAATTTCTCTTCCGATTTTTTGGTCTTTGAGATTGAATCCCCATTGGCCAATTGGATTCGTTTTCATTTAACCATGATGATCCTTTCCACCACAGCTCCTACCTTCTAAACTTTCTTGGAGATAGTGCCTTTGTTACAATATCGACAGAATTACGTTCATTTGGTATGTATCGGAAGGAAATTTCGCTTTCCATACTTCCTCTACCCGGTTTTATACGTAATTTCGGTAATGGTTTAGAATTGTTTTGAACACAGCGCAGCGCACACTTGGAATTGGATCATAACATTACCGACAGCCCCAATTGCTTTATGACAAAATGTGCTACCCGTGCCCCAATAAGTACTGCTAATAGCCCCAACCGCTTTAATCGATGGGATTCAAAATTTAGCAAATACGAAGGATATTTTTGTCCTTTGAATTCCATGACTATGCGGCAGCAGAATATGTCACGCGTGCATCCGTGAAGGCATGGATTTGTAATTAGTTTGAGGAAGTTATGAATCCGGAATTTTTGTACCTGTTGACATTCCGATACGGGAAAATTCCATATCTCCGCATTTTCTTCGCTTACGGCTTTATCTCAAGCATTACTTTTTCCATAGATTTTACAAGAACAATTTGAATCGGATCATCATCCCAGTAGATCATATTGAGAGGCCACGAATTGTAAGATCGTCCTCTTGATTAATGTTTTTCCAATCCATGGCTTTAAGATTAATTGGATGATGTCCCTAACATGACTCCAAGTGGCACCAAGAATTTTTTTTCTCCTATATCCGCTCAATCTTATTCGGTAATTTTGATATTCAAGTTCTCGTTGCATTCGACAGAAACTCATATTTATTGCCGCATTCGCAAAAATGGATTTCACCTCGTCATATTTCTGCAGGCTTCTTCTATTGCTAATAATAAACACTGTCCATATCCACACAGAAATTTCTTCTGATTTCTAATACGGTTTTTGTTCCATTAATTTCTAGGTCGCAGTTAAGTGTTGCTGACAGTAAAAAGGGTGAAAACATTACTTCAAAGGAACTTTTTGAAACGATAATGCTTCAGGTTTTCTTCAGTAACTGCACCATGAATATCTTTTAACCAAAGAAATCAGGTACATTTTCTATCTGAAGGACGGAGTTCCAGTTTTAAGAATACCTTCTTCACATCGGCAATAACTACATTTATCCTTCATCATTCGAAAGTGTAATAATATTCCTACTAAATCGGGAAGCATAATAGATCTACGATAAAGGGCTTCATTCAAGCTCCGTGTACCTTTGAGATGTGCGAAAGCGTCGTAGACAATTTTGAGTTTTTTTAGACTTATGTGGAGCTATAATTTCGTGGTGAGTTAGGGAAATGAATCGTACCTTCTTGATCCGTGTATGGGTGAACTTCTTCCATTATATCTGAATGTAAGTGATCTCGGATTGTTTTGTCATGTTGGTGAAGTAGCTTTTCATCCGCCTGTGGTCATTTGATTAGTGTCTTTAAGCGACCAAAACACACGCCTTGATTCTTAACTTGACGGCATCTTTCCACAGCCAGCAGACTTGGTATCCCTATTTTGTTTGGAGATGCTTGTCATAAAATGTTCTAACGCCTTCTCATCATTCGCGGCATTAGGTTCGTGCATACCTATCGATTTGTTTCCAGAATTGGTCTGGATTAGCTAATTAGCAGTAGGAAATGAACAAGCATGGTCGATCATTAGACTCCGAATATTCCTAGAGAGATTGGCCGAGAGAAACAAACACGAGTAATTAGAAACCAATCTTCTAATAGAGAGAAGGCTTAGCCGAAGTACTGTAGGGGGAAAATCTGCCTTGGCTGCAATTAAACAACCTCGTTCAAATGGTCAAAGGGCATTCACAGATTTGAAAGAAATTGCAATTCGGAAACCAAGGAGACCCTGTGCCTTTTATAATGAGCAACATTGGGATAGTAATTTCGAAGTGTATCCACCCTAAGGCAACGAATGGAGTCTGGGAGTAACCAAAGCATCCTCAACTGTTCTCAGTTAGGCCATAAGGTCAAAGCAATAAGAAGAAACGAAAATGCTTTCATTATAAAGGTTCACACAATAGTGCATTATACCATATCAAATACAAGAATGGCGCACTAAATGTCATCAATCAATCGGAAGACAAAGCCGTAGATCTCAACTAATTCAGTAATAAGAGGGATGGATCAAAGAGATAAAAGTTCTACTCATCACAGTATGTAATCCAAAAACGTAGGAAATCCAAGAAATCCTAGCATTATTCGGTGGCCACCCTCAATTATCCTTTGTTTCCAAGGATCAGCAAATCGAATCGAAGGAACTGAAGGAGTTACGAATTGCATCAAAATATATAAGGTATCAAAACCATGTCCCACAACCGAATAGAGGTCGCAACAAGAAGTTATAAGGTTTGATATCAATATAATTGACTAGGTGACGAATAAGCAACAAGTAGTTATACCATCTGTTATAAATCAGGGGTAAATAAAAGATATGAAATGTTACTAGAAATAACCTGATATGTTTATTAGAATTGATCACTTTTTCAAGCTTATCCAGAGCTCAAGATTTAAAATTTGGATTTCCTTTACTTCACATCAAGCTTGAACCTATGTTGGCGGGTAGCGGGTACAGGAACAAAATCCCAGATCCCGATATGGTAAAAGTTAAAGCAACCCCTATAGTATTGTATGGAACATTGTGTAGGATCTTGTGTGGTTTAAAGATCGCGCTTTTACTTCCTTCTATTAAAGGGTTGGTTTCTAATTATTTCCTGTCTTGATCAATCTCCCCAGGAATATTCGGAGTTTATCTATGTTGTTCTTTCTGTTAATATACTTATCTATTTCCATTTCGCTAGTCTTGTCTCGACTGCATTTTAAGTACTAGAGTGATGTAGATTCCTACAGCTTCTAAACTATCGCAGTATCCTCTCATAGTCCCAACTGTGGTTTTCCCACCTCTTTTGTTCCTATTGATGGAATCTAGTTCCTTGTGGCTAGAAATGATTTGCCAAATTTGATTAGAATTTCCCTTATGACTGGGTAATTTACGGGAGCAATATCGCAACCTCCTACGATTAGTAAAGCTTCCCCTCTGAGACAGGAGAGTAGATAGTTCAACTTTTGAATATCTGGAATTGGTTGAACGTGAACTGCAGCCCCAAAGTCGTTCCAAAATTTTCTTCACAACTTGGGATCACCTATGAATGTTGGTAGTGGTAGATGGGGTAGATTTGCAGTTATCTGTTGGCGCATTGGAGCTAGTTCTTTTATCTGCACTTTATCCAGTTCTCTTGGAATACTAACTGAACATCACCCTTATGCAAACTTAAGCCTATAATAGCTTCTTTATTTAAAAGTTTTTAAAAAAATATTATTCAAAAAAGTTAACATAAAAATACCTTTCTCGTTGATAATGTTCGCATACTTCTCTTCCTTTTCTTTTACTGCGGCGAAACTTTCTGAATGAATCCCAACCATTTTTTGTTGATCGATTCCTTCGTACCAACATATAACACGAGGAATTTGCTTTTTCGTTTGAGGGTCCTTCTCTGCTTGCATTGTTGATACTGTTCACTCCTTGACAACTGTTAAGAGGTTATGTTAAGAGGCGTTAAATCCAAATCTCTAGTATCCACGATCAAGCTTTTGCTCTGCCAATTTTATATTCAGAATTAGACTATCTTACATGTCCCCGACCATTAGCACCAAAAACTATCCTGAAAGATATTTTTGATTCAGGAAAGCAGATTAGTTCCATGGTAATTGTAATTGACGACTAACTTGTTCGGAATTGATCGAACCGCTTTCTCTGAGAGAGGAGGACTCAGACACCCTGTTCAGGGAGAGTCACAGTTGATCTGTGAGTATATATAGTCCCAACGTAACCATATATATATATTTCTTTCAATGACTGCCCTGTTACCGCCAATTACCCTGTTGAGCGGTAACAGGACAGTCATTGAGATATATGTCTAACACAACTGTATATACTCACCGTTCGGCGGTAACAGGACAGTCATTCAGACATATGTCTAACATAACTATATATAGCCAACGTTGCGCGGTAACAGGACAGTCATTGAAATGTGTATCTAACACAACTATATATACTCAACGTCCGGTGGTACCAGAGCAGGAATTCAGACACACGTCTAACACAACTACATATACTCACCGTTCCGCGCTAATAGGACATTCAGATATATATCTAACAAAACTATATATACTCAACGTTCGGTGATATCAGGGCAATCATTAGAGATGTATAGTGTATCAGTAGAGGCCACGCAGAGATGTGTAATAAGTCACGCAGATCATGAACATATGATGGGATAAGCAATGTCATATTATGAAGGAAAAGAAAGAAGCAATGGGAGTAAAGGAGATTGTTTGATTGCTACTAGCCACATTTGTTGTTATGCATATGCATAAAAATACAGCGAACATTCCAATGGCCGAAAATGTTATAAAACAGTAGCTATCATTCGGGACATTCGGGGAACACTAGAAATAAAGAGTATCACGTGATAAGAAATTAATATTGGTGAAAAAAAAATGACAAAAGCAACTTCCTTATCAAATAACTCTCTGCGATATCTCTATTTATGTGAATAATTTTATATTGCAAAATTTCCAGTTTGTTGACACTGTGCTTCATCTTATTGGACATTCTTCTAAATTTCCAGGACTTTGACGCTACTCGAAGTGAATGCACCTCAGTAGAGCATAAAACTTTTAATAACACAGTTGATGGTTCACGAAATCCAAAAGCAATTCGAATTGGAAATTTTGAAATCGAAACATGGTATTCTGCACCATATCCAGCAGAATATGCACAGCTCTCAGTTTTATATCTGTGTGAATATTGTATGAAATACATGAAAAGTTTGGAAATGAGGCAGCGACACTCGGTATGTTGCAGCTTTGTTTCTTGAACATCGTATTAAATCTAACAAGATGTCGAGATATGTTTACATTTACGATTTATTTCTTGGTAATAAACGATGAATGGGAGAAATACGATTTGTGTCTTTGTTAAATTGTTTAAATGCTATATTTAGTTTTTCCAGGAACGATGTCAACTTCGACATCCTCCAGGCAATGAAATATATCGGAAAGATGGTGTATCGGTATTTGAGGTAGAGAATTTCATGATAGTTTTATGTAAAACAGAAGAATTTTGTAAAACTAATTGTGCGAGGTTTAAAATTTTCTTTAAATTTTGTTATAACTTTTTTAGGTAGATGGTTACTGTTCCAGAATTTACTGTCAAAATATTTGCCTTCTGGCGAAATTATTTCTGGACCACAAAACGTTGTACTATGATGTGGAACCATTCTTATTTTATGTGGCTACAAGGAATGATAGCAGTGGATGTCATTTCGTTGGATATTTTTCCAAAGTAAGCTTTTCTTGAATTTCTGATATATCCAGTAGGTATATGTACAAATAGCAGTTGCTATAAAATGTCACTACGGTATGGTACTTCTCATTTCGCCATTTATCGATTCTACCTCTATTTCAGCATCAAAAAAAATTATGCTTTTAAATGAGATTGGTTCCTTGTCCTTCCTTTTCAGGAAAAATATAGTGCGCAAAAATATAATCTGTCGTGCATTATGACATTACCTTCTTATCAGAGACAAGGATTTGGAAGATTTTTGATTGATTTCAGTAAGTTTTTTTTCAAATCATTAAAACAAACTGTAGCTGTATAAAATATCAACTAGCTCAGCTGAATTTGCAGGGACTTTGAACTCTTTTCATAGCAATTTTTGCCAAACCCGTAAAAGCTCATTTTTCGTAGTCTGGAAAATGAAATTCATTAATCTTTTTTTCAATTTAAGCATACCTTGGTAGAAGTACCATTCTGTCTTCTAAATCGTAACGCTGTCTGCTTGATTACAGGCTTTTTGTTAACTCGGAAAGAGGGCTTGACAGGGACACCAGAAAGGCCATTATCAGATTTGGGCCGTTTTTCTTATAAAAGTTACTGGCGATCAGCTATTTGTGAATATCTTTATAAGACTATTTCACCCGATAAAACAAAACGGCTGACTTTGAGAGGTATGTTTTTTTGCTTAAAATTCTTGTTAGTGAATTCTTTTACGATTTTAAAGTATTTGTTAAAAATCCATTTAAGGTATTGCACGCGGGACAGGTATTTCGGTTTACGATGTTATGGAAACCTTACAGTCGTTGAATATACTTCAGCGAGTCGATTCTCAGTAAGTTTTGTCCCAAAACTATGACTTCCTGAATTACAGTCAGAAGTTCACGCAAGTAACAATAAAACTCTATAGAGTATGTTCTGGCTTTTCTAGATGCAATTCTTCCAGAAACCTATTGACTTGTGTTTTCGTTATAGTTAAAAATGCGCATAGAAACACTTTCTGAAATATTTTACAAATATACTGCTTAATAGAAAAGTATTTCAGGACGATAATTATATTAAATATGACGATGTTGAAGAATCACTGGACTAGAGCTAAGAATGATACGAAGCGTATTTGGTTGGATGAAACGAAACTATCAGTGAGTTAGACCGAAATGCCGTATAAACCCGATAAAAATTTAATTATTGAATAAGTTAACAAGGAATTTGGGAATTTTCATGCATATTTTAGTAAATAAGTCAAGATGGGAAGAAATTTTTTGGTGACTTATATAGAATTAAGATGAATTTATCGTCAAACACGAATATCAATTTGTTTATTCAGTTCCATATACAAGGAAACATTCAAAATTATTAATAATGATGTTGAGATTTAAGGGTTTTAGTTTGTATTTACTTAGCATTCATTTTAGTGGTTGCCAGTTGCATATTCTCCTTCAAAAGAGTATGGTGAACGAACATCCCATGCGTTACGCTCCCCTTTTACTAACCCTATCCGACAAACTGCAGTACGCCGTAATCGTGGAAACATAATGCAGAATGCAAGTGTTGGTGGTGGTATGCAAGGATCGAAAACAAATGGTTTTTTTCGAGAAAAAAACATCAAAAATGGTAAAACAATTCTCAAAAAGAGGCGGTCGGATGACAAGACATCGGATGAAGACAAAAAGACAGTAATGAGTTTGAAAACTACATGCCGAGGTATGTACATTAGCTTTTAGCCAAGTGTTATCAAGATTAATTACAGTTCTATTTGTCGTTTACATGCTGTTTTGTTAAAGATGGGAAGCAAAATAGACGAATTTGGCGAAAAACAAGCGGTGATGATTCTGATGATAACGATGTGAAATTGCAAAAGGAAGCAAGGAAGAACATGCGGCTAGGTAGGATTGAGTTCCATGAAGCAATAAAAAAATCATTCCAGCTTTTTTTATTTAAATTTGTTCTAAAACTTGCTACAGAATAAATTTAAACTTGCTATAGAATAAATTTAAATAAAAAACCGTATATTATGGTAAAATTGTAGCCGAAATAAGTCAAAAGAAAGTATCAAAGAGAAGTACTACCAGTCGACGTTTCCGAAAAAGTGGGACGAAAAAGGCTGTAGCGGTTGAACCGTATACGTATCCATCATCATCAAACAGTAATTCATCAGGTATTTCTTCTGGTCATTTCATTCAGAAATATGCTATTTAATTCTTCTATTTAAAAATAAAGTGGCACTAGAGGTTTTGTTTGTGTCATTTGTCCTTGTTACTTTTTTCAGAAACTTCATTCCAGATCTAAGCGATGATAGTTCAGATGTTCGGAAAAATGAAAAAGCTTACAAGCCTTCCCACAAGAAGCATGTGTCACGTTCTCATTTTAGGCGACGAAAACAGGTATGAATGGATTTGAATTTTTATAATGAATTTTCCCCTAATTATTAACCGCTTTCTACGTAATGGTTAAATTTTGTTTAAACTGAAATAAAAGGTTTTTTAGGGAAATAAAGACAAGGAAGAAACTTTTATTCTTTTTTGCTAAAAAAGCAGAGGTGCTACTATGTGTCATTATGCCTTACGGTAATATTGATTCAATTTAGAGAAGTATCGCCAATGTAGAATCAGTCGAACTGAATAACGTCAATGATCAAGATATTATGCCAGATAGTAAGAAAGTACCCATAAAAACCATGAATTCGTATGTTTATTTCTTTTTTAAGATTTCTTTAATATTTTTTAAGAAATACATAGCATAGTCGATTTTCTATGTTTTTATTATACTCGTTCATTACAGAAATTGCCATAAATTACATCTTTATCACATATCGTCTAGCGCCGATTCAAGTGGTTCTGAGGGATCATCTGATGATTCACTTTTGATTTTGAAGCGACGCAAAATAACTAATAATACAAAACCACTGTTTTTAAGGTATATCGTATTTGATCCACTGTATTTTACTGTGGGTAGGATTTTTTCATTTTTTGAATCTTCTTTTATCAAGTTTTTTTGAAAATTTTTGGTTTTAGTTGCGCCAATTCTCCAGAACCACTGGAAGATGGGCATATAACTCCGAAACTGAGTGTGAGTCAAGAACCGGAAAGCGAAATTCCCGATTGCAGTAAGCTGATTACAACTGATGTTCAACAGTCAAACAAGAACGAAAAAAGGTGAGGCTGCTTTGCGGAACTTTTGGTTTTTTAGAGTTGACGCACAGTCGCTAATTTCGGCGATATTATTCTGAATTCATAAGCTCTATTTTAAGTTTGGAATTGAGTGTTGATAATGAAGATGAACTACCACCTACACTGGAAGCAGATGGCGTCGACAAAGTAAGAACTTCAGTTTTTTGTTTTGCTGTTAACTTGTCAATTTTGTGACTGGTTTATATACTTATACTTGAGTGAGATCATTTGGAACTTTTCCTTAATGGTTTCGAAAAGGCGAATATCTCTTGAAGCACGTATTAAGTATCATATTTGCAGGATAAGCTAGTAAAGGAATGGGACAATCCGGATAGATCATCATGCTGTTCCGGAAGCAGTTTTCCAAACGGGATGCCACTTCTTCGTGTGAATATTGCAGGGAATGATAGTGCATATGAAGGAGAAGATGAAGACGTTCCGCCGAGATTGTCGCCGAACTTCGCTCTGGTATGTTTTCTGGGAAAATGCGTTTTCGCAGATGAATTTTTGAATAACGTGTATGGACAGTTGTGGAGTTCATGCATTTTCTTTTTCTGCTTTTTAACGCTATAGTTTCTTTTTTCAACTTCACTGTAGAAAAATTCATCGTATTTCTCAGGTTGAAAGTAGCGACACGAATAGTCCAAAAGAACTCGAGCCAATACCATCTTTAAGCCAAGCATTGCCCAATAAATCTGTCCCAGATTTGCTAGCTGTTTCGTCACCATCAAAACCTCATGATACGGTTTCAAATAATTCAGCGTCGCGAATTACATCTGTTACTAACACCATTTGCGAAATGGTTTGTTTCATTTAGCTTTTAAGAGCAAGTTTTACAACCGTTTGAAAGTTTCTCAAAAAACTGTTTCATGCGTTTGCATTCTGGTTGAAGCTTGAATTTTCAGGTTAATTTGGGTGGCGATGCTGGAAGTGAAGGCGAAAGTGAGGCAGAACAGAAAGAATTAAGTGGTAGCCATTCGAACCATAGAAAAAACGGAAAATCGGAGGCTTTGCCGCTTAGACTTGAAACATCAGCACTGGATAGGCCTCCGAAAGCTCCGGCAATGCTTTCATTGCCAAACGAGGAGCATGATATAAACCATTCGGTTTGTAGTTTAAGCTTGGTTCGAATCTTAATAATCTAAAACTAGATTTAAAATTATCTATATCTATTAAGTTTCAGGACGAGAAAAGCGAAGTCGCATCGATCGGGAAAGACAGTTCCGTGGAAACAGTTGAGCATGCAGTATTCCAGAGGTATATTTCACACTGGAGTTTAGAAGTTAGCACAAGAGAATTAATGATAAAATTTCATCACTTAATCAGCCTTATGAAAAGCACCCTCTCTGAGTTCGTTTCGATAATCATATTTTAGCAGCAGCAATTGTCGGCAACCAAACTCAATCCTTAATCAATCTCCAATTTTGCCACCCAGCTCGATCCATTCAGATCTTTCTTCTCAAAGCTTTGTGTCACCTCCCTGTTCTTTGCAAAAGGTGATTTCTTGACGATATTGTTTGCTATTCAAAAATTATTTTTCGTTTATCATCTAAATATCGAGTTTTAGCGCAATACATCTGACGGTTCCTGTCGTACTCCTCTTTCACAAATTGAGGCAAGTCCTGGAGAAGTTTTCATTGGTTCCACTGATAGAAATAGCGCTCGCTCGAATCCCTCAACTCCACATCATCTCTCAACTCAAAGCCATCCAGGTATGATTTAAGGATCTTACTATTTACTTCCTTTTCATTAAGTAGTCTTCGATATAATTCAATCACATATTCTTACTTAGTCAAAGTTTTGCGATTCCATTAGGCTCTTGAGCAAATTGGTAAGATGCATTATTTCCAGGTTCGGATATGATGTTTTGCACTACAACAGCAGGAGACATGTGTCTGAATATGATGGCTGAAACATCAGTGATGGCAAACAACACAAAAAGTATGGTGAAACCATCGACACCAAGAGTGTTGCCATCATCGACAACTCACCATCATTCTCACCGACGTGGTTCCAAAAAAGATCAAGTAAGTCCTTCTGGCAATTACATTTACAATCTTACATACGGTCAAAAATAAAAGTAATAGTTTAGCGAGTATGAAGAAATAGTGGAGTAGATGCCAATACTGATTCTTTATGAGTTGGTATCTTGTACACAAGACATGGTTGAGTAGTAGTGTGAAGAAGGTTTTATTGTCACATCTGTTAAGCCAAGTTTGGAAAACGAGGAATTTTTGTTTTATTGTTTGACTTTTTTTAAATCTAAAACTGCTGACGAGGTATGATTAAGGAACTTTTTTAAAAAATGGAATAATGTTTAATTAAGGTTTAACTTAAGGAGATAACGGATTAGGATATGTAAATAAGAGGTAAGAGGAGAAATTTTTGGACCAAATCGATTAGCTGCTTAACATGTTTCAAGGATTTTTTTATGCAACTTATTTCTGTTCTGTAGAGTCGTTCATCGAAAACCGCTTCAAACAGCCAAAGGGCGCAGTTATTTAAGCCTCCAGCGCCACTTCCGCCATATGTAATTGCAGCACCAAATGCAGGACAATCATTTATGGGTCCTTCACAAGTCACACATTCTCAGACAGGTGCTTTATTTCATTATACTTTACGTCAATATTAGTTATAATTTCAGCATAGTTTTATAAGATTTTTGTATTTGAGAATATTGGTACTATTCGAGAGTAACAATCCTGAATTGCCAATTTGGCAATTCCTTGATCACAATGAATCTGGATTATCATTTGCGAAATAATCAGTCCGTGTTGTTTTAGGAATGTTTCTTGTTTAGTTTAGTGTTTTCCTCGTGGTATTGATGTGCTCATTGCTCATAATTCTAATAAAATCTATGTTGGTGATAAAATTCCGACGTTTCTGACGCTAAGGCACCATTTTGCAGGATCTTATTATGCGGGCGGTTATGCGAATTCACGACATTCCGCTTACTTCGATTCACAGTTTCACCCGAATGCTCTGTCGACAGCGACTGCTTCAGCAACTTATCCAGCATCGAGTGTAAGCTATCCGTCCCATTTAGGTGGCATAGGTAAAACATATCCTATGGGAGCTGCTGTTCAGAGTGGCTTTTCGTATTCTTATCCTCGTGGTATGCATCAGGTAATTTTTTTCTTTTATTTTAAAATTTTTTCGAAATCAGTTGAAGATTTAATATATATATGTTGAGTAAGTATTTTTGGTTTTTTTAAAAGAATTATTCGAATCTTAAAGGTATAGGTAGGACTGAGGTAAATTAAATTTTTTCAACTCATATGTTGTATCTTCTTTTCAGGCCGGTGCTAATATGGGATTATCAAGTAGTGGAACTATTGGACCAGTAACTCCACAACAAATGATCGGTGTACAATGTCCAGAGTTACAGAATACTAGTCAAGCTAATGCGGCAACTTCATGGAGGTAATTATTATTTTTAACGGAAAGCATTATTAGGCTGTTAGTATATCACTACCAGTTAGTTGAAGCACAGGTTTTACCTTCATTGCTATTTTTATTTTTATCTTATATATTTTTCTTTCGTTCAGATATCCTACTCCACCTGCCGCATTTTCGGGTCATTTCATGGATGCATTTGGTGGTGGTATGCCATCAGCAGCTGGTGGTAGCCAATTTGCATTACCAAATCAACTTTATTATCAGCATGGTTACCACCCGTATTTGATGCCAATGATGCGGAATGATTAAATTTATCCTTTTATTACACAATCCAGACAGTTTATCTTTTTTTTTAAATAAATCTTATTTTTACTTTAATAAATTGTAGGTATTGTATTTATATAAGTATTTATATAATTAATTTATATCCTAATTATGAGCAGCATCTATTAAATTAATTTATATGTGAGCAGTATCTATTATTTGTCACTTGATATTCTTGAGTACTCAAAATATGTCTTGCCTGATATACATATATATAGCAGTTTCTGCACAAATTCTTCTTTATGATGAAGAAATCCATCTTTTTAGATTTTTCGGTAGATTATTAGAGATTTCCAACAGTCAAATTCGTGTGGTTTTTTTCTTTCACTTTAAAAAGCAGAAAACAAATTTTCCCTCCTCATTTGACGGTAGCTGATATCTCTTTGTTGCTGTTATTATTGTTTGTCCGGGTAACCTGGCTTTAATGTTGCTTTCTTTTGTGTCCCAAAAAGACAGAACTTAACAAAAAATCCATCCTGACAGGTTTTCTCGATCTACTGTTTTGCTTTGTATCACCGTCTGATCTCGTACTTTCATTTTATTTCATTCAAACGCTAATTTTCAAAAAGGATAATGCATGACATCGTTCTGTGTAGTTCAGGTTCAAAATTGCATTTGATCAGCGGAAATGTTTGCTCTTAGCTCTTTATTTGCTTTACAAGAAAACTACACGGGCACTTTTTCTCTCTCTCTCTTTTTCCCTGATCTTTATGCTAAATGAGCTCTACTTTTGCTGTTGTTCCTTTTTTACATATGGAATTTTTTGCAACGAAGCTGAAATTCGTTTTTTTTGACTTGTTTTTCCTTTTAAACAGGTTTTTCTTCATAAGTAGTCTTTTTACAATCTCAAATAGTTTTGGTTCTCTCTTTTTCTTTGCTCTTTTTTCAAATGACTTTTTAAAATTATCGGATTTAAAAACCTCTATCTGGTTTTATATTCCAATTATCGGTTTTAAATTTCTCATACAAAAATACATTACAAATGCAGTAATAAAATTTTGCTGATGGAAACTCCGAATATGAACCGCAGTATTTTAACTGCTACGCAGAAAAAGACACTTTCTCTCTCTTTTCTTCAGATCTTTATATTAAATGAGCTATGTCTTTGTTATCCTTTTTTTTCACTTATGGAAATTTTTTGAAGGAAAATTTGGGATTTGTTTTTTTTGATTTTTTTCTTTATAATTAATATTTCTCTCGCAAATGATATTCTTATGGTTTGTAATTCGTATTCCTTTTTTTTAACTTCTCAGTTTTATCAGTTTATCGCGTTTCTCTTGAAAAGATTTAATTTAGCGTCGCATCTAATGACTTGTATTTTATTTCCGTTTTTTATCTTTTGGTTTTGCATTGTGAATGCAAAGATGCATTATACATATAATACTAACCAGCTGTTGTTTTATACCTTTCCTTCATATCCAGATTTTGATAATTCGCAGTTAAACGCATCATATATGTGAAGGAAGCTTTACGATAGATAGGGAAGCTAATGGTGACGTATTGGATGCAGTTGGCATTTAAACTTATAGAACGGATCGCTGCAAAGGAAACATTTCTCGGGAATTGAACGACAGCACTGTCATCTGAGCAGATCTTCGAGCGGGCATTTCATAGATTGCTTCTCGAGTTACACCTGTGCTCAATAAAAAATTAAGCAAAAAGTTTACATGAGAATTGAAATTTGTAGAAAGCTATAAACAATTATTCAAATTTTCAAGTTCGATGGGAAGTGAAATCTTAAATATTTTATTTCAACAACAGATGAAACGAGGGAGAGAGAGAAAAGACGCAGAGATGCAGGAGGGGAGGGGGGAGATACAGCGAGAGAAATGATAGGTAAATTTTGAAATGTCACTGTTTTTCATTTTCCAAAATTTTTTCACGACATTTCCGGCAGGTGTTATAATGGAAAACCGAAGACTATCGAAATTTCATAAGCTATCGATTTATGATCTTTTAGTTTGTAACTAAATTGAGCAACTATTCCACTTTTCCGCATTCTTCTAACGGCCTACAATAATTTTTGACGATATTCTTGGAACGGTAAACAAACATATTATATCATTTGATTGAAAATAATTAATACAAAGGATTTTTATAACACAGATTTCAAAAATACTTTGATCACATATTTATAAAGTTTTTTTTTTCATTACTCCACGTTTGTTTCCGCTAAAGTTTGTTATCGTCTTATAACGATTCTAGTTCGTTACATTCATTATCTGTTTCCTTTTAATCATTAACTTCCTAAACTGATTCGTCGAATTGTGTTTATTCTTCGTGGAAAACTGGCGGTTATAGTTCAATAAATTGTTGATTGAAATAATCGTTTGAAAGTTTGAATAAGGAATTAGTGAGGATTTGGTTGAATCGTAGTTTAGGAGAATGTAGTTGATGAGATCATTTCGTTTTGGTGCAATAAGTTAACACTAAAATAAATTGCTTTCGTTGAGCGATGCTCGATGAGCAGTATTTATGGTAAATAGGTTGTTGGCCAATTATAGACAAAATTAACAGTGTAAAAAAGGTCATAAGGCTATTTGATAGAAGAAATGATGTAAACAAAAATTGTCTGGTGACTTGAAACGTGAAATTAGCGGTAAACGTGAGATCAGAGAATATAAATCATTTGCGGTATTCTTTGTTATTAAGAATTTATAATAAACGACAGTAATTTTTAATGGTATTATTGGAACAGTAAATATGCATATCCTAATTTTTGACTATTATTTGTGCATTGTCGTTTTGATTTTGTTAATGCAAATTGTTTCAAAAAAAAACCTACCATTTCAAGACTTTTCATTAATTTTTCAAGTTATTTACTATCGGTTGTTTCTTTCAAATAAATTCATTCATATCTTGGAAAAATTAAACGAAAACTATAAATTTTTGAAAGATTTCATTATTTTTTTAATTTCACAATTGGTGAAGTAAAGGATGCGGTGCACGGGAAATTTTTCAAAATGCTCGCAAGCCGCAATTTTAGAATGTGGAAATTCATTTTTAGATATGTGAGCTGAAATTAGCTCTGAACTCTTCAAAAATTGAAATTTGGGAAAAAATTATGCAATAATGGCAGATGATGACCTGTATACCTATGTAGGTTTTTCAATTTAATGAAACTTTAAGATGCATAATTTAATAAGACTTTCGTAAATTAACAAATTAAAAAATCAATAATCATCATTATAATATCTTAATGGATATTTTGGATTTGATACTAAAATTTAATTTTTGGGGAATTTTTTCTATTGATGAAAACATAAATTTGACCTGGTTCTAACCAATTTTTGAGTTAAATTTTTTAATTTAATTCACTTGACTGCAGTTGGAAAAGTTTGATATCTCAAAAATGATTCAAATTCAAAGTTTTGATTACTATAGTTTGAGATATTATTCGATAAAATAGATTTATTCCAAAAAATTTCCAAGATGCCTTTTGTAAGTGTTACCTTATGTGCACATTTTGTTTGTCAATGAAAATGAAGATGAAGCATTTATGGATGCAAACAACTACAATACACATGATTTACATCAAATATGCATTAAAATTGCAGCAATTTCAAAGGTTCATAAATTTAATAGAATAAATTTTTGAAGTGAGATTTTATTTTTGTGTGTTCTTTTATTCTGAAACAAAAAAAGAATAAACAAATTTGTATTTGTTATTTGAAATCATTAATATTATACTTCAAGTTAATAAAAAATGACAAAGGATAGTAAGAATTACCATCCTTAGTGTCCTTTGCAAAGGCCTGATCCAGCAATTGTTTACCAAAGTGGTAATAGTGCCGTTGCAGAATATCCAGCAATAAAATTGAAATGCGAAGAAATTGTTAACATAAATGGAGCTGATGATGCATTTGTAGAAGGTAGCCAAGATTTTAATGCCAGGCTTTTTTAATTTAGTACAATTTAGTATCTAATTAGTATACATATGTAAGGGATGTTTAAGAATAGTGATGAATGATTTTTTGAAGTTATGAGAAATTTATTAAATTCTTTCCTTCCTTTCTCTTTTCGTATGTTCACAAATGAAACGAAAATATTTTTGATTACCTTTTAATAAAACCGATGAAAAGTAATTTTAAAATACTATGCCTTATTAATTTAGTATGATATCTAATTAGCATACATTTAAAAGTTAAGAAAAGTTCGTTTTTTCTTTTTTTCAATTTATCCATAACAATGGATAACATTTTTATATTTACAACAATATCGATCACTTCTAAGCCATGAAGTTTATCAAGTCAAATTTCAAAAAAAAGTACCATCCGCTATGATCAAAGTTTACGGATTTTTTTTCCTTTTCCAGAATTTCTGTCACAATATATTCAAAAAAAAAAAAAAAATCGGTAGCGGAATCGGTTGAATGTGGACATTATAATGCGTCGACAACAATACGGCAAGAAGGCTGACATTTTCACATCAACCTGCTTACACCATTGATGTATCGGTCGTTTCCAAATACCCTCTTATGAGTATTTCCCGGCAACATCGCGGCCAATTAAACGACACTGCTTTATTATCATCGTTTTAGTACTGTAACATAACGGTTCCAGTAATAAATCCAAAGATTCTTGTTTCTTTCTTTCATCTTTTTTGTCACTTTTTTTATTTAAAAGGACTTTTTTTTTGTAATATAAGCAAAATAAATGGTTAACGATAATGGTTAAAGCGGATGTTATACTGTAATATCAAAAAATGAAAAATCAGAATTTTGAATTCTTTTTCCGTCTTTTGAAAATTTTGGATAAATTTGTTCCATTAATTTATTTCACATATTGCGGTGTAGCATCACACATAAGACACAAGGAAATGCAATTAATTCATAAAGCAGAAATTCAAAACCATACTGCATATCTCAAAAAAAACACACACACACACACACACACACACACATACACATACGCAGGTGCATACATATATAAACACAGATGTGTCAAGAGTGAAATTCACTGCCGAGTATAAATAGGAGGAACTGTGAATAACCGGTAAAATTACTCAAAATCTAGAGAAAAAAAGACAAATATGGACAATAAACCTAGCACACTGAAATATGAGTCAATTAACAGATCTCTACGAACGATAAATACACACGAGAGCAAGTGAATACGTTGACAACCATAAAATATTGTATTCTAAAGTCATAGATGAAGCCAGAAAGTTTTATTCTTCTACGTTATACCCTACCGGGAAATAATAAAAATTTAAAAGTAGGTAAATTTTTAACGTTGATCCTAATACAATAGTGTTGCTGAAAGATGATATCATAACCTCATCACTTCACTGGTTTCAACGACTGATTAAGAAATTATTATGCACACAACTTTGTTGAACTCATTAGAAGCTCTCATAATTGATACGCAAAAGATAAGTGATATGAAAAGTATGTGCAATAGTTGGAAATCAATTATTCCGCCCAATGTGGTGATCATCACCGAGATATCAATTACAGTTTTTTTAGAAATCAAAAATTACATGGGCTCATATTAGAGAGATCATAGTATTTCTGGAAATAACATAAAAATATCTAAGAGTTGCCATTTCACATATACTACACCTAGAAATAAAAGAACCGTTGTATATCTGGAAATTTCTTTGATTGAAAAAATTTACATCGATCTCTCTGACAAAAATCATAGGAAAAACTGTTGCATATCACTGACCGCAACATTAGTGTTTTCCAACTTTTCACCATTATAAACAAAAATTAATTAATTGCTATCACTGACAATTACATCACAGGTCAAGTGAATGACTTAATTACAGCAACATTTTTGGCAATTTGGCACACATTAACACATATAGCAAAAAGACGAATGAGCAAATAGGCTATATGAATAAATAATTAATATGATGTAAGTAGACAATTAAAGTAATTTTAATAGCATTTCTGGTAGTCAGAAATTGAATTTAATTCATATTAATACAAGTAGACAGCATCTGTGGGGGATATGCACAGATGACAGCATAGGCACATATCACAGTGAAACACTGGAAGTAAAGCAAAGTGAATTCAGTAGTTGCGCCGGCAACATATTTCATTCAGAAGAAATAAGATCAGCATAATCCGGCAAATCAGTATCAACTTGTCCCACCGCCCAGCGTAGTAGCTCATGTCCTTTAACTGTTATTGGCGAAAACTGGAAAACGTCACCGTAAATTCATAATTCAAATAAAATTAAGAGATCAATTATATTTATCAAATATTTCCTCACACAGAGTTATGATATGAAAAATCAATCCCATCAAAATTATTTCCTACTGTTGATACATTTTCGACAGTGATTAAGAATAGGCAATAAAAATTATATACATCAAAGACACATTAAGTCAATCACAATTTTTCTGAACAGTTCGATTTGCAAAAAGTTCAAAAAACAAAACCTTGTGAAATGCAATCAGTTCACGAAGATGACGATGCACTACTTGATTTATTCCCAAAAATTGATATCCTTGTGGTATTTTTTCGATCAGAAAATGCTTTACATTACCATCTCCAACTACATACGATAAGGTATAACCCCAAATACGTTCCGAAACGCGAATAAGGAATGAACCGGAAGGTTTTTTCTGTAGCAGTCGATCAGCTCTGCTTCTTGGGATGATTCCTATAATGAAAAGCATTTTATAAAGACATCAAATCAGCAACTAGATATTGATTATTTTTGATGAGATTGAGGTAAGGGGGGAAGAAAACATGATGCGTCAACATTGGAAAAAGGATAAAGTTTTGTAATCATTTTTTTTTGAAGGACAATTTTGTCCGTTTAGATAAGACTGAAGATAACTAACCATGGAACCAAACAGATGGTCGACGTGTTATTGGATCCAAACCGGTTCCTCGTGGCAGCTCTTCGGTTTTAAACCAATTAATAATTGCATCACGCGATTTCGGCTTGGGAGGACGGGGCAAACTCTTCCTGGAAACATCATCAATACTTACTTCTTACAATAAACTAGTTCGACATAAAAATATAGCTAACCGATTAACACGAATTATTTGTCCTTCTTAACTTACTGAGAAAAGTTCGACTTGAAGCAAAAATCAAGTCTGAAAGAACAAGCCTCTCATAAACTAATCAGTAGTGTCAAATCACTCCATTCACCGATGAAAGCAATTCAAAAAGAAAGCGCCTAATGAACTGGACTTACTGTAAAACTACATTCTAATAACAGAGAAGTTAGTTATATTTGAATGATCATTCCCTCAATGTCGTTATTACTAGCGGAAAAGCAAAATGAAGACATCACTTACAATGCAGCCCTCAAACGTGAAGGATTCATATTCTTGAGAACTGGCAAAATTGAACTCGATGTACGCAAACTTTGCTGACGGTGTTGTTCACGAGCTCTCTGTGCAATTTGTCGAATTTGAGCTTCCGCTTCACGTGCTTTTCTTTCTGGAAGAAAAAAAATCCAAAACGTCATCGGTCATAATAAGAAATTGAAATATTCCAAGAAGTTGAAAATACTTCCAGAGATAAGACCTATTTAATGACCATCACTATCAACTAACCTTGTTCCTCCCAAGCTTGTTGAACGCGTTTCGCCTCCTGTTCTGCTTCTCTGTCAAATTGCTGATGTTTTTCCTTGATCTTTTCGAAAATTTCTGACTGTCGCTTAGTGATTTCTTCATCGATATCTGTACACATTAATTTCCATCAAAAATGAATTGTTAGATTTCATTGGTAATAGTGTTACAGGAAAATGAAAATACCCGATAAATCATGTGTTGTATTAAGATCAGGCCGGAATTTCACCACCGTTTTTTTAGCAGCGTTTGTTTTCTGAGGTGGAGTGATTTGTGTTTTCATATTCCAAAACCGACTTCGTGGAACAGCGAAATTGTTTCCATTTGGCGCAGGTTTTGTAGCATTTGTTGGTGTATTAGGTGTCTAAAATTAGTTATTTTAATGTTAAACAAGTTAGTTTGTTGACAAATCTGGTGTATTATACTGGAGTCGAAAATACATCACTAGAAACCAAGGAGATTAAATCTAACCTTTACTCCACTTGGACCGCTATAATCTGACAGCATGTCTGCTTTTCCTGATCCACGACGGATGTCTGATCCAATAGGCTGGGAGGAAAGTGGAACATAGTTAGTGTAAGCTCCATAAGGAGCTTTTGCTGCTTCACTTCCAGAAGATGGATTCAGACGGCCAAAGCTACCAATAAGTATTTCACCGAAACTGCTATTAAGAGTAGAAGTACTTGGCGAAGCCTGTGAGCGTTCGTCTGAACCATTACTCTAAAAAAAACTTTCAAATTTTCGAAAAAGTAAAAATATATTTCGCTCCACTTTACCGCTGCAACCAAATGAACATGTTTTTTCTTAATTACTTACCTTCGAAGAGTCGGTTAATAAATCCGTGCCGCATGTCTTATCTGTCTCAGTGTCAGTAATGTTTGATAATTTATCCCCTTTGTTAGTGTTATTATCAGAAAGATTTTCCTTGGATTTCTTTAGAATCCCTTTGCGAGATGATTCTGGAGCAGGAGCAATACGCGAAGGCGAATGTACATTACCATTGTATGATGTGCCAAACAATGAATCTGCATCGTCATATACAGATTCCTGTAACTGTAATCTACGAGTCATAAAGGAAATGAGATAAAATCCTAAAACAGTGGATCTAACAGCCATTCATAATCACCGTGAGAGGGATATTCGGAACCTTTAGAAGTTTCGAATATGGAAGCGTAAAGTGATCCAGCAAAAAAAGTCTTCAGAATATTAAAATTTCTCAAAATACACTTCCAAAACAAGCAAATATTAATCTGAGAAAGTGCAATGCAATACACACTTGTATTTTGTTAGGCGCATTTGCGCTATTCCATGGTTTAATACGGCTCAGCTGTTCTTTCAGTGTGTTCTCATCTTCATGTGGCTCGACGACAGGTGAATTATTATCACTCAGTTCCGTTAAACTGCAAGAATTACCATAATTATGCAAATATATAACTGCAAGAATTAGGTAATTATGCAAATATATAGCCGCAAAAATTACGGTAATTATGCAAAGGCGTATTATGATATCAAGAGGCTATAATTGAATTTCGTCTTTCTGACAACTATCCAAAATACTCTAGACAAAAATTACCAAAGCCGGATAATTCAGATGATAACTAAAAAAATTTGCTACCAACAGTCACATAAAATTAAGGATTACCGCATGCTTTCCAGCATTTCCTTTTCAGCAAGTTGTCGTGCTTCCTCAAGAGCCCGTTTTTCCGTAATTTGTTCAATGGTTAGGTCATCTTTATGTTCACCCATAACCCAAACCCAAACTTCGCCGTCTTCTCCCTTCAACCATCTGAAAAAAAAATGATTTTAATGACCAGAACTATCCCGATCCCGGTTATTTTCCGTTCATTTGATTATCGCCTCAACTGCAGAATTCGCACTTGATTCTTCGCGAATCATCCTTTGCTTTGCTGCTTTGGGGTTCATCCTCCTTCTCACATTGCTCGTCAAAAGCATTCCAGCGTTTTACTTGCTCCTCTCGCATTTTGATAAATAATATTTGCTTTTGCTCCTCATCGAGCGCATCCAAAATTTCCGGATCCACAAACATCTACAATGATCACAGAATAGGTTTCGAAGTATAAAATGATGGAATATCCTTTTGTAAATAAATCTTCATCCAACCTTTATCTTTTGAAATCGCCCTTGAGGACTTTTTTTTTTGAAGTTTTAGATCCCGAAACGATGGAAGGGAAACCTTTCAGAATGTAAAGACAATAGGAAGACATACTTGATCTAATATTTGCTGTAGCATACTCATGTTAACTTAATTATGTTGTTTCACCTCTATCATCAGCAGTAATAAATTAGAAAATCCAGCACCAGAACCCTTAATATCAGATAATACAAACCAACAATTAGCAATTAAACCGGTTACCAAGTACCACAATCGAACAATGAGTCGATTACGCTATTGAAATCATTTTAAATGGTTCAAAAGCTGTTATCATTTAACGCAGCCAATGACGTTGAAAAAGGTTTGGGTGAAGGGGAGGGGCCATTGTTGGGGTGATAATGTCAGTTTTTGAGGGTGTTAAGTTCAACGTAGGCAGATTTTTTCCTTTTCTATTAGGAATTCCGGAAATTTACGTTGGGTGAAGTACGTTAATGAAGTGAATTGAAGTGACAAATCTGTAATTTGAAAGAGACGCTCTCGCCAACTACGTTAATTGTCTGATAAACCGCTAATTTCTCCTTATTCGTTGTGTAGCCCGTTTAAAGCCATCTTTTCCAATGTTTCCGGAACATATCAGACTGTGTATTGTAAAATGTATTGTGCTGTAAAAAAAAGAAACTATCAATGAGGTTAAAAGAAGCTTATGTAAAGGTTAAGGGATTGTGAAAGAAGTTCTTTTACTGTTGGAAAGTTATGAAGGAGTTTCACGTTCGCTTAACAGATCAAGAATCCTTTGTCAGACTTGACGTTTTGCATATACTGGAGTTTCTTACTGCAAGGAACAACTGAACTAAAAATTTTAAACTTCTGATAGTTTTCAAAATTTTGCAAGATAAACTAGTAAGCGCAAATTACCAAGTTTGTGACGACTTAGAGTTTTAGTCTTATTTTTTTAGTCTTGTTAATGTCAACAGTATTTTTAACTACTCCGTTAGCAATTTACAAAATTTAAGCTTTTGAGGACTTTATGCTGCGATTTCATCCTTTCCGATTGAATTTTGTGCAATACTGCCTATATTTTATATACTTTCCGTAATTTTCTTTAAAATAAAATGTTGCAGTTATTGACCGATCATTGGGATAGATCAACAAATTCAATGCCAACATCATATTCAAATTCTACAAAACCTCCTTTCGTTGCGTTAGAAACGAGGTAAATTTATTACATTTTATGACAGTACAAATAGAATACACATTTGGTATCATACTGTCAGCCTTTATTTATTTGGCAGCTGATATAATAATATAATGCTGTTTGTTTATACGTATCATCTTTGAGTTTCGATATTATTTTTCATTAATAATGTTGATGAGGTAAGCGGCACACTTTTTAGAACATCGGCTATCATCGGTTGAGGATCGTCTCATGGATGTATAATCATTTCATTATCATCTCTATGTTTCTTTTTCTATACTGTTACTTTACTGTTTGTACAGTATTAGTGCTGGCAATAATTTAACTGACAATATGATTGCTCAAAGACTGTGGGCGTGAATGCCATATAACCAACCAGTATGACAAAGATTTAAATAATGCAAGATAATTATTAGCATTTATTAATTTGATTCAATATCTGAATTGTTTTGAATTTGAAGCATGGGGATGATCTGCATCGAACTGTACTGGGATCACGCTCCCAGAACGTGTAAAAATTTTGCCGAACTAGCCCGACGCGGATACTACAATGGAACTATATTTCATAGGATAATTGCCGATTTCATGATTCAGGGCGGAGATCCGACCGGAACCGGTTTTTTTCTTGCATTTTTCTAGCAAAAACTGATAACTTATGAATTTAGATTTGTGAAATGGAAAGTTTTTTTTGCGGGGCAAGAGTAGAAGAATTGAGAAGCTTTGTTTGTTATCAGTAAATTTGCTTATTTCTGATATAGAAACTGCTGCATTTTCTTGACTATGGATTGATTTTTACTTAGGTCGTGGCGGTGCATCAATTTTTGGTGATAGATTTCCGGATGAAATCCATGATAATTTAAAGCATAGCGGTGCTGGGATCATTTCGATGGCTAACAGTGGACCAAACACTAATGGTTCACAGTTTTTCATTACTTTAGCACCAGCACAACATTTAGATGGGAAACATACCATTTTTGGACGAGTTGCATCTGGAATGAGAGTACGTTGTTTTTGTCACTTCGTTTTTGTTTAGCAATTTAATGTTTTGAAAACCTGAATCACTTTTATTTAAAAATTTTCATGTATTATTTGTGCTGTTACTAGATTATGATAAAAAAGTAAATCATGATATCTCTGTTGACAAGTGGAATAATGTTACTGATCTAGCTGTCCTAAAAAGTGAAAAATATTTAAAAGGCTTTTAAACATTGAAAGGGAACTTAGCAGTTTTGTGAGCTAAGACATTCCACATTGTCAACTAAGACCTATTTTATGAAATATTTGGAAGGGATTATGAGAATTGTTAATCATGAAGAGAAGATTTTTCTACACCTTCAAATAATGGGAAACATCTACAATTCACAGACAATCTGACATGTGCAGAAGTCCTGCAGCGGCAGTGTATTAATAAACTATTTTTCTAATCTTTCCTATTGAACTGGTTCTGTTTCAAGGAAGATGGACATTTGGACAAATATTTTATTAATAAATAGTAAGTATTAATCAAGATTTGTCGAAAATCTCTTCAGTTCCATTCAACCAATTGGTAGTGTCTAGCCTACGAAGCCCAAAATTGAAAGAGAGAACTTTCTGTTGATCTTCACCAGTATTGGAAGCCTAAATAAATTCAAGACTTTTATGGGGATTCACGGCAGGCTGATATGTCATCTATTAGTCTGTTAAGTGAGATAAGATGTTTTCCTAGACAAAAGATATCAAATAATGATTGTTGTGTACTCATGTAACAATGAAGATTCAAACTTGCCATTAAATCGGTTTTGGAATGTCGTATCCACTTTTCATCATTTTAATGGCTAAATTAACAAGTAACATAGGAAGGTAGTAAATATTTAATATCAATACAATCATTTCAAATAGTTTTATATTACTTTTGCGGTATGCAAAAATAAGGATTGCATTATTTTCTAGGCTAAGACAACAAAATCGTCATGTATTTATGCCTTCATCCTACATAATAATATTATTTTGTTGTAGGCGGTGCAAAAAATTGGACTTGTGGATACGGATGCTCATGATCGGCCAAAAAGCGAAATTAAAATATTAAAGGCATTCCCTAAAGATGACTCTCGCAATTGATTATTAATTTTCAAAGATGGATGCGATGACAGATAAATGAATTCATTTTTATGCGGTTATCATTCTTATTAACATAACCTTAAATTTAGATTTTTTGAGTCATTGTCACTATCTTTCTAATCTTCATAGTTTTTAGCTGTTAAGAAAGTTTGTACATTCAAACTTTTGAAATAATATGTTTTGCAAGCTCTCTGTAATAAGGTACAAACGTTTCCATTATCCGAATCTGATTTGCAAGTGGGTGGAATGGGCGTGTTTGCTATGTCTGCATGTATGCATTTATATGTGTGTCCGCATTTGGGAAAGTCCCAAGTCAATGTAAGTTGGTTTTTGTTGAAAGTATTCCTACAAGGTAGCTGATTATGTTACGTTGGCCGCTGTTATGCATGCTACTGTTTCTGTGCGCTGACTGTTTCTATGTTCTGGATAATGTATTTTCGGCACCATCCGTGTAAGTTTTAAACCTAATTTTTAACAATATTTTGAGAGCAAGAAACAATTTACATTTATTGTTAAATAGTAAGAGTTGTCATTCATAGAGAAACTCTTTAAATTATTTTATAAATTTTTTTGTTTTTTGTCAGATTCAAACCTAAATTCCGACACCAGTGGTCCAGCTAGTAGGTAAAGTAAAATAAATTAATTTGTTAGCAGTATGAACAAGCTTGAGAGATGAAAGTAATTTTAAGCCTAGTTAGATTTGCAGATGTATCACCAAATGAAGACTTAGTCCATTTCATATCGTAGCAATTCTGACAAAGATCCTATTTTGAAATTGTTTATTCCGTAGTATCATTTATATAAAGGTTATTGCAAATAACATTTAAGATGTTAGCTTTCTTCACCTATTAGTAAATCTCGATTTTAATTACATGAAGAAAGGATAACTTTGATTTTGAGGGGAGAAAATGCTTACTTTTCAGTGGACAGTTTCGTTAATATAAAAGCAATGAAATAAAAAATGTTATTGTCGTATGCACGTGTTCTATTTTGGATATTCGCTTTAATTTTGCTGTTCGATATTCATTAACCGGATTTCACATTCTCTGACCCGTTGGGCCTCAATTTCTTCCCTTCTCTCCTCCACATTTAGTAATAGTCTTAAATAACATCCAAGAAAATAAATTAGTTTGGAATTGTCATACATTCTAGTTACAATCATTTACATTAAAACCGTTTTATGAATTTCCACTTTTTTAAGCAATTTTCTGCCCACATATTTTTCTTGGTCATTGAGTTCCTTATTAAATTATCGTTCAGTCATAATTCATTTAAACAGTAACTTTGTACTCATCCAACTTGCTGCAATCTTGCAAATTCCCTCATTTCATAATCGACTATTATCGGTGCTTTATTGTCATTTGTTAATCCATTCAATAACTGATTCATTTATCTGCAACTTGAAATTGGAGTTCTGGATAATTAGGAGTTTCAAAACTGTGATGTTTATTAGAATAAAATTTCTGAGAACAGTATGGTACAGTGTCGAAGAATTTCACAATATGTAAGAATTATTATCAATAGAATTCAGAAGTAGAAGGTAATCAGTGCAGCTTATATGATAAATCACACTTAATTAAACTTAATTTCAAGTGAGTAAATAAATGAAATGCATCCATTTAAATTAATGTTTTATGTATTTCAAGTGAAAAATGGTATATTGTCAGATTGATGAATTAGACGATACTCTGTCATTAACGTCGTCCAACGAAGTATAAGATGCAAGTTGACATTAAACGCTACAATTTTCTCTCATTCTCATCATATGGCATACTGCTCATTTATTATTAATTTTTTGATTGTTCATATGGAAAACAATCTTACACAGGCAAAAGAAAGACGAAAACTTTATTTAGACATATAAGTCCCTTAAACAATGCACTTATCAAATCGACCAAACTATGTCTCAGATAAAATTGACTAACTGTCTCAAAAACTCAAATAATTTCGGGAAGTGTTTAACTGCATTAATTATGAGAAGCTCGAAATAGATTAAAACGTTCAATTACTGCATTACTCGGTAAATTATGAAAAAATAACAAAATTAAATTCTAGGCTCTTTCTGGAAAATAAAGACCACCCTAAATACATTAGACTTTATCCCTTCGAAAAACATCACTAGTTTCTACTTTTCTAGATTAGATTCTTTAAATTATTGGTATCATTCAAATTCTGATACTAGATCAATATTTGAAATCTAAAAGATTAGCTTAAAATAAATATATTTCCTTTTTCCAATTTAATTACCACTTAGTCACCGTTTCAGTATTTACCATTCCTAACAATATTCATGGAAATTACAAGTGAAAATCTCGAAAAGTTACAGTATTACATGAAATATTAAAGTATAATTTTCAAAATATTTGCACGTACTGTATATAAGTTCGGTATTAAGAAAAACGTGAGAAACATCCACTTATTTTCATTACAGTATATTTTATATGCTTTCGTTTTTAACCGTTAATGCAAACATAACATCACTGATCATCAATAGTGATTAACATCTTGAAGAAATTCAAGTTTTCTGTCATAAGTCATTTTTTTTTCTTTTAATAGACATTAAAATAAGAACAATTAAAATTAGTATGAAAATTTTAGATAAATACTTTGACGTTTATCCTTAGCTTCTTACAGTTATTTTATTTATTTTTTGTCAACACAAAAAATACCATATATGCCTCATTTATAAAAAATGCACTCTTTCTTCATGTAACCTGTTTTATTCAAGTTAAATTTACGCCATCTACGTCAAACATATATATTATAAAAGGTTTTTTTTTCCATGATAGTTAACTTCAACTACCATATGATATCATTATCTCAACGTTCAGTGAATTTTATAAACTATAGTGAACTAATCCAAAATTTCAATCTCATTTATTCAAAAGGTATTACCGATTTCAAGCATAACTCTTTAGTTTAATCTAATTATTTGCATAATTTTCATGAGTCAAACTTCTAATTTCAAAATGCTAACATTTTTATTTTTAAATAAATCGGTCTTTTTTTTTCAAAACTAAAGAGTATTATTTAAATTTCGAAAAAAATACGCCATAATGTTTGTATATGTAACATTAGCATTGATGAAGTCTTTGTAATTTCTTGCTAATATAAAACAAAATTTCAGAAAAAAAGATGAAATACTCTATAAGGATAAATATGGTTATTTAGCGATGAAAGATTTTGGTGAACAGCGACCACTAAAACGGCTACGTCCATGTTTCTACAGTCCCATACAATGTTTAATGAAAAGACGCATTGCAACCGACGAAAATTTCATGGATAATTATCAATGAAATGTAAACAACTGTATGAAATGCTATTCAACAAGCATTCCATTTATCTAATCCGTACTAACTATCCTATCTAATTCAAATTTAATCATCCGGATATATAAATTTACTTAGTTTCATTATCTAGACTGAAGTACTTGTTACAGGAAATTACCAAGCGAGAATTTCTGGAATACTATAAATCATAAAGAAATGCTATTTTAATTAATGAACATTTGGCAGTTTTGAAGATATTAAAATTCAAACAAAATTTATTTCAAACACTGGATTACACATAGTAAACCATCTACGCTTGATCTTTTACTTCTTTTTCGCTCTTATTTTACATTTTCTCATATTTATCACAATATATCTATCTTTACCACAGTACGGATAGTGTTAAAGTATGTTGAATACGATTCATAACATTATTACTATCTCAAAAAAGGGATTTATAATAAAGCGTTTTATGTTACCAAATGGCTTACAACAGTGCTTAAACTTCGTCTTTTCACTGATCGACTCTTTTTGTACATTGAGTTTATTTCCTACAATAAATAAACAGAATATATATAAAACTGACAAGTAAGCAATTTTGGACAAAGAAAAAAGTAACAAAAAAAAAAAAAGAAAAGCCATTTTACTAATCTAACAACAATATTTCAAATTTGCAAAGGAACAATCAATACGACACATAAATATAAATGTTGAAATTGGAAAAAAATCCTAAGACGACTAATGGCTTATAACAGTGTTTAAATACTGTCAAATTCGTGATTTTTCAATCTCCAATAAGTTTTTATCTGACAAATTTTGCATACATATCATTATAAAAAAACTCCATAAATTAAACATGTACCTAAAACAACCTTATACTGGAAAAGTCTTTATCTGGGCAATAAAATATTCGGCTAGAATTTCCTATATCTTAAAATACTCCAGAGGATCTCCATTCAACTAGTGAAGAAGTATGCATCTCTCAAAGATATCTTAACCGCAGGTCGAGCTACAATCGAAGATTTCCTGGAAAAAATTTGACGATACCAGCTGCTGTTATATCATCCCGTTTAATTCCACCCGCTGAATATATGTTTCGATAATGCACCGACTATTTAGAAGTGATTGACAATGTTTAAAAAAATAACAAGTCGAAACAATGACAACTGATTTCTTCAGTATAAAAAAAGTATCAAGTAATCCACACTCTTCTTTAGGTAAACTGTAAACAACTTCCAACATATATAAGCTAAAAATGCAAAAACATCCACAAACACATACGCACACCACACATACACACAAAACATATTTAGGGTATCAAAAAGGTGAGTTTTATAAATAAAAGCATGAGCATGCATTTAAAAAAAAGATGTCGACAAAGCTGCAATTTTTCTTTAAGAAGATAAAAAAGTTTCCACGAATCTGGATGAAATAAATCATGCCACGTCACAATCAAGCTGAATAATGCCTACACGTATTCAATAAATATCATCAACAGCCCAACAATAATATATTTTAAAATATTAAAATTAAATAACCAACAAATATATAGGGAAAATTCTGACGCAAAAAATAGCAAAATGAAACAAAATGTTCAAAAAGTGCGCCTAAAACACAAACTATTCCCGTGGATTTCATTGGGTTTTTTTTTCTTTGCAAACATAAAATTCACAGCATGAAAATAAATATGCCATATACAGTCGATTTCTTCTCTTCGTTCTTCCCACAATTTTATTTCACTACCCTCCTCTTTAAATGATTCCTGATGTTCATACCGACATCGTTTTCTTCATTTTTATTCTCCAATGACTCTCCCATGATTATATCCTTTTGAATTTTGTTACGAATTCCACTAGCGAGCACAGCATGGTATCTATTCCCCTGTAATCACAAAGTATATTGTACAATCGTAAATAAATCAAAACAGTGAATGGACTAATTAAACTAATTTAGTTTTTAAATGAATCGCATTTTATAATACAAAAACTTTCCAGTACTTCTTCGAACCTAAATCAACACATCGGTAGATAAAACGAGGATAAGAAGTGAAGCTACATTAGTTTTTATCGAGCGGTAATTTACATAGTTAATGAGAATACGGAGATCAAATAATTGCTTTGAAATTCGGTGTTTATACTGTTCATTGAATGGCAGTGAGAATATTTCCTAACACAACGCTTTTAAATGGAAAATCTTTTAAAAAAATACTTTTTTCAGATAAGTATTGTAGAAGAAATTGCAGAAAAGCAGAAAATATGAAAAGTAAATTGTGAATGAGAAGTAGAGATTGCTCCATGTTTGCTGACAATCACGTCCAGAAAGCTTGATTCGTAAAATGTTTATTCCTGGAATGAACATGAAAAATATTTACATGGTTTCAGTGTCGCAGTCTGACTAAACCGAGATCATTACTTCAAATGACGTAATAACCAAGACGCATAAAAGATAAGTATACAGAAATCATTTAAAAAAAACATAGGAGGAACAATTCACGTGTCCTAAAATATCTCAACAGCTCACTTCTCCTCTCCTTCAAGACTGTAAATTTAATAGCCATCTAAACAAGAAATGATTTCTGGGATAATATTGTTAACAAATTATTTTTTTTTTCTAAGTTCTTAAAACTAACCGATGAAGACACCTCCAACCATCTGTAAGATCTGCAAAATTGTAACCATCATTGCCGCCATTTTTGGAAGTCGTTTGCGCATTACCCGAAGCGCATAGTATGTGTACATAAATGCATGTACAGTATAATTCATCCATATAAACCATCGTCCCGAAGCCGTATGGTCCTGAAAGTAAGACCAATCTAAGGCTAAAGATCTTTTAAAGATTGAACCGAATATATTTGTTACTTCAACAAAATTATAAGAATTAATTTGCCATGAATTTTAACAGCTTTTGATAAAAAATTGAACACACTGCTGAATTTCACACTGGTAATAAAATAAAAAAACAGATTCATGAAATATGGTAACACTTGCAACTTTTACTTCTCAAAGTCATGCATGTGCGTCAACTGTGTAAAGTATCACTGTATTTCCAATTTATTACATTAAAGACGCCAACGGTTATTTGAAAAAAAAATTAAAAAAAGAATGTTAAGCTTTATTTCATATTTTAAACTTCGGCGGTATACAATCTTTGGAACTGAGAAGAAATGTTTGTTCTAATTCACAAAAAAAAGAGTAGAGTATTTAGATAAAAACGAACAACAGGAAAGTAACCACTAAGAAGAAGTAAAATTCATAGAAGTCATAATTAGGTACCCATTTTGCTACGATTCTGTATCTATTTAAATTAAAATTTTTTTTGGAAAATAATTTATCAACAAAAAGACCTACTTTGTAAGCATGCCAGGTGTAAACCAGCACGGTAACATGATGGTACCAGTGAAGAAAAAGCAGCGGACGTTTGCGCAGCACAATAAATACTGTGTCGCCAAATTCAGCAACCTAAAATAATGGAAATGCTAATCATCTTCAATAAAAATGATGCATTTATGTATATAATAAATAAATCTCATTAGGTCACGTTACATCAACCATGCCACGAGTTGTTTTTTACGCTTATTCTTATGCTTCAATAATTTTATAGTTCTAAACAAAAAAACATTTTCGGTGAGTTGCTCACGTGGAGAAAGATTTTTGATCATATTAGTGGATATAATAAAATCAGACATAATTCCCAATATCAATAACACTGAAAATAACGAGCCCTTTTTTTCAAAAAGTTTCCACTAACCAAAATTGTTTTCTTGTTATCACACTTATTATTCACTCAAAAATAAAAATCTAATTCACATAACTACACGATCCCAAAATTTATACCTTGGACAAGGCAAACATTTCGGTCCAAAATCCCGTAACACCCTGCGCAAATGAAGCTGTGCATATCGAATATTCGAAAGAATTCTCTCGGACACTCCACAACAATTCCGGTGTCATCCGGTACACTCCTAAGAGAGAAAATAACGCTAAACCAAAATTCCATGCTATCAGTAGGTTATCTAAGCAGAATGGTTTACGCGACTCCATCAGCTGCAATTAAGCCAAATTAATGGCTGACCAATGAATACAGTGAATATTTCAGGTTAACGAGAGAAAAATTGATATTGATTTCCAGACAATAAATATTAGAATGAAAATATCAGTGAAATTCTCGTTGCATTTCGAATCTACTTATTCAGTTATCTATGCTCCACCAATCAGTAGGTCCGATTGAGATGATAAACTTCTAAGAAATATTCATAAAGCCTGCCACTATGATTGAATTTTGAAAGAGAAAAGCAAAAAAAAAGATCAAAAATCCTACCGCTCAATTTTGAATATATCTTGAAATTACATTTGAAATATGAAGAAATAAGAAAAAGTACCTTTTGTCCAATGTAAATAGAGATAACATATGCAATGGACGACGTTATGCTATGGAACCAATTTTCTTGCATCCATTTGGTTGATTCCATCATATTGAATTTTGCTTCAAATGGCATTGTATAAAGGTAATTTTCCAGTCCATAATAAGGCCAATATTCCCATCGAGCCATTTAGGTAGAATTCGAAAATGAAATTTGAATTTCGCCTAAATCTTTTTCCTGCTTTATTTCGCTTCAATTACAAATGACTAAACGCATCGTCTCAGTTAATGCATGATTAATTAACTTGATAAATTAAATGATTGTCATCCTTATGTCACAAAATAACAATCATTCATCATTATCATTATATTTCTTCATATAGATCTGACAAATCGTAACAAAAAAAAGGGCAAAATAAATTGTATATATACTGTAATTGTATATATCTGAAAAATCGTAATCAAATTGTATATTATTCAAGGAAATAAAAAATTATTCTGATTAATTTGTTAATAATGGATGATTGTAGGAAATAAAGAAGAAAAGAATACGTCAATAACGGTGATAAATCAAATGGGGGAGAAAAAAAGGTGAGGAACGAAAAAGTTGCAACAATATAAACAATGAGACAGACGTGAATCAGATGAAAAAATCTGCTACATTTCTACGCTGGAGTAACAACATTCCATTGTCCATTCCTAAAGCAAATGACGTGAAACATCAAGGATTAGTTGTGATAGCTGACCGACGACGATCAAAGTCCACAGACTTTGATCTCTAATTGCTTATCAAATTTCTAAAAAATTAATCATTTTCTTTTTCTCTTTTTCTTTCCTCTCACCTGCTATTTTCCTACATTCCTCCTCTCCCTCTCTTATATGCTCATTTAAAGCCAAAAGAAAAAAAAAACACTGAGGCATCCCAAAAACCAAAGGTTAATGATTGCGGCAAATATACGACTATTTCGCTTTGCGGTGGCAAACAGCTAAAAAAACACATCAAATGTGCTAAATAATTTTGCTAAAGATTGTAGCATTGATAAAGATTTAAGGATGAAGCGTAGGGTGGGTTCGTTTACCCCGTTAAAATCGATAATGATGAAACAAGTAAGAAATTTAACAAGTCAACTTCTTCATATGCCAAATTTTTCTTACTCATCAAGAATCATCAATGATTCTCAAGATCTTCAAGATTGTCTAAAAATTCTCCTCAGTTACAGTTTTACTTCTATAAAATTATAAATTGCTTTTCTATGATCTGTTGAAGATCGATCAGTAATTAACACTTAAATATGTAAATATTCGTAAATAAATGTAACATCGATCATAATTAGCAAATTGATCAACAAAATGTTTACTGTTGTTATTGTTGTTGTTGTTGTTGCTGTTGTTGTTGTTGTTGNNNNTGCTGTTGTTGTTGTTGTTGTTGTTGTTGTTGTTATTGGAATCATAGTAATATCAAAACCTCCATAAATTGAGAAACTGTTCACCGAATATAATCATAATATCTTTTTAATTTTCTTTTGTCCTTGGACCATTCTTTTTACATCATCCATAATTTAATAACATGTCGAAATTGTCTTTTTTTTTACTATTATCAAAGTAATCAGATTAACAGTAACCCGTGGAAACATAATTCTAAAGTAATCTTTTTGGACAATTCTCCTAAAACTGCTAATTTTTTTAATGACTAAATAAATAAAAAGATAAATAAGCATACATTTTCTAAACACATACTTTTATAGAGCAGAGGAAAACATCGATAAAGCGTCTCATCGTCGTTACAGTCCAATCATTCCTTCGTAACACTGAATCATATGAATCGTACAAGCTCATTTTAAACATTATAAAACAAAATTCCTTTCATACACTATCATAAAATACATCATACAGAATTAAAATTTTTTATAATTAAAAATAAATAAATAAGCATATATTTCCTGAAAAAAAAATTGAAACTGATATTAAAGCTATTTCAAAAAATGATGGAAAAATTAGTAAATTTTCAGCAAAATCAGTACAATTACATCCGATTACGAAAATATTACAGGAGACAAACAATCATCAAATGACATTACTGTTTAACTTTCATATGATCCTATAAACAACAGTATAGTTTGAAATAATAATTATAAAAATGAAAAATAAAAGTTGTTATGTTACCATGTTATTATACAATATGTTTATATGTATATGTATTAGAAGTACATCTGTTTTCTTGAACAGGTAGTAAAAATGAAAGTTTTTTGCTAAGTTTCAATTTAGTCTAAAGCTCAATATTGATGATAAAAAAAATCGGGAGAAATTATAATGCAACAAACATTTGTCAGCAATTAATTATGTCCACGAAGCAATTAGTTGTGCGTAATTAAACTGAAATTGATTAAGTAATTCGATAAAAATACAAAAGCGCTACTGTGCAATTTCCGTTCAGTTAGGGAGAGATGAAACGAAAGATGAGAACAACAATGGTGTTTTAAATTGATGTAAGATAATTTAAGAAATGTAAAATATGAACAGAACACAACGTGACATGAAACGGAAGAACAGTACGGAAAAATTGAGCTTCATCAATCATAAAGATGCAAACTGTGAATTTCATTCTCTTAATTTTTTCATTTCACATTTTTGAAAATATTTCCAATTGAAAAAAAGACGAACACTTTTCAAATTTTCGCCAAATCACATCAAAATTTGATCTAGATTTAAATTTGAACCAATTTCAATCTCATACTTTTATTACAATCGCCTTTACATAAAATTTTGCTTCTCATCAGAATAGCAGCAGCAGTGTAAAACAGTGTAAGAGTTTGTCTCACTTTGATATTTATCATCAAAAAATATTAGCGGTAATTTAAATCTGAAAAAAAAAGAACTTTTCTTCCTTACAAAAATTAGCTTTTACAGCTTGGAATACAGACCATTTCTGCTAATATCATCTGAAGTAAAACAGTATCTTCAAGTATTTGTCTGCATCATAACAAACTAATTAATTGTAAAACAAAATTAAATGGATGGAAGTATGGTAATGATTATATAACGAAAAATGTTGCCTCTGTAAAAGCAAAAAATGGAAAGATTGGTGAGATAAAATGACAAATTAAACATGATGATCTAAAGTTAAAAGATAACAAATGAGAAGTAAGCAGTCATAATATAAAGTAAATAATAATCGAGTAGTTTGTAGAATTGATATGATTTAAATTTGAAAATGTTAAATTAATGTGAGTATTCCAAATCAAATTATCAATAAAATTATTTTACCAATGGCATTAAATTTTCAATTTTTCAAATAGTAGAAAGCTAAGTGGAAATGGAAAGTGGAAGACTAAGTATGAATGATGGAATTATTTGCCAAAATAACAATTCTCCCGTAGTGCAGTATGGAAGAAAACCTTGCAACCTAACAGAAGAACCTAAATTTGATCAAGTTGTATTAATCATCGTAAATCAATTAATGCTTTTAGTAGATTTCTTCGTCATTTATCATTTATCATCTCTCGACAAGTTTTCATCAATGAACTTTATACAAGTTTGATTTTAATGAAGTAATACTTAGTAAAACTGTTTTACCATTTGTTATTTCCCATTCCATTGAACCAAAAAGAAGTATGGCATAAATGCATATGGAAAATGGTACAGAAGTGTGAAAAAGCAATGATAGATCTTTTATTCCACGAATGCGCAAATGATCAAAATTGACAAAAAGAAGGATAGCTTTTATTAGTTAATAATTTAATTGCGTGACATGCAGAATGAAGAAAAAATTAAATTTCGTTTATAAAGGATTAATAGAAAGTGGGAAGCAAAAAAAAACAAAGTAAAATTTAAATAACCTGAAATACAAATGTTTATTTTTGTTTAAATCAAAATTAGAAATTTAATGAAAAATTAACAAATAACGTTTACAAATAGTTTAAATGACTTAATGAAACTCCTAATAATGTTGTACCCGCGTTCCGGTAAATAATTTATGGGAAGTGAATGGAATGAATAACAAATGATGAGATCTAAAAAAAAAATTAATATTTCGGATGTACGGGTATAGCAGGTATTTAAAACATAGTTTTATTTGTGGATAATTATTAATTTGTGATCTGTAGAGACAGAGTCATTAACAGGGAAATAATTTAACATAATTTAAAGTTTTAAATGCAACAAAAATTTTCCCTATCGAGAAATTTTAAAAAGAACTAAAAGTTACATGCAGGTTGAATTTTTATACCGTCAACTACGAAAATTCGCAAAATATAATCAAATTTATATGATCAACATAATGTACTTCGAATTCTTCGCATTTTTCTGGATTAATTCTGGCATCACCAGAATCCCGTAGAACGTCCACCCGGTGGATTCAATACTTTTGTGGATGCACGCATACCACGTGTGTCATTCGGCGTTGCTGTAAACAATAATAAATTTATGAAATGATCGGTCCAATGAAGTATAAGAAAGTTCTTATGCTAAATAAATACAAAGTTTTCAGCTTCCAAAAAAATGCTTAAATAAAAAAGAAATTTTTGAATAAAAAGAAACTGAAACAAACCGGAATAAACTGAATCAAATTGTTGCTTTTGTACGCTTTTTACAGGAAATGCTTGACTACTATTGCTCAAGTTCTCTTTTAGATGTGATTGATTGCTGCATGGTATTATGCTTTCATTCACACCACCATTAAGTTGTATCTGAATTAACTTTCTAATAACTTAGAATTCGTTACAGATGCCTTTCGACATGATTAATCAACGAAATAATCATAGTTTTCTAAAGCTAGAAATTTTCACAAAATTTTGCAAATGATATGAACTGACCCCTTCCATCTGCTTCAGCATACAGTATAAATAGGGAGAATGTGATTCAAGCTTCATCAGTTTACCTCGTCCTAATTCAAACTGAAAAATTAGTTAGATTAATTAATCAACTCGTAATTGTACAGCAATATCAAAATAAAAAAAAAACTAAAATTCAGGACACTTTTTATTACAGGTGACCAATCAATAATTCAAGAGTGAATGAATAGAAAGAATGATTTAAGCCTTTTTTCAAGAACTTTATATCTTTGCTAAATAAATGGCCGAGCAGTTCTTATGAATCTGATTAAATTGATTTCTGCAAATATTCGAAGAGATTAAATAAACCTCGAAGTAAGCCTAAAAGCTTAAAGACATTTAGAACTCTCCAATATAACTGGAATAAACAAAATTTCAAAACTTATGACCTTTCCGTTGTTGTAAGCAATTCGTCCACCACAAATGGTCATCACAGGTTTTGAATGAGTGGTCGATACTTTGAGTAGCGACGGGTGCTGATTTAGAGTGGATGTTTGCTGCTTCATGGACAATTTCCACAAGACCAAATCTGCGTCTGCTCCAACGGCAATTCTTCCCTAAATTTGTATCTCAAAATAAATAGCTTGTTCGTTTACTTTTTACCTGTTCTTTCTATACAAATTTAGATCTATCAAACAAATAAGACATTTATCAAGTAAAATAAAGTTTGATATATCAATTTTTGAAAATTTCAGCAAGAGGAATCAAATTTTTAGCCGAAAAAAAAACCTTTTTGGGATAAAGATTAAACACTTTAGCAGCATTGCTACTCGTAACAGCAACGAAACGCATCGGATCGATCAATCCTGACAAAACACCCTTAGCCCATAACATCGACATTTTCTCTTCCACTACAGATACAGCATTTTGAACGAAATTTTCCACTATTGAATCTTTTTTTCGCATTCCACAATGACCAGATATACAGATGCATAATGGTAAACTAAAACGTTGGCTTAATTATTTCAATTTGCATATTTAAGCAAATTTTTCGAATTAGCAAATTTCAAATATTGTACTTCTTTTTAAATTAAAGTTCTATAAAATGTTCAATGATTTCAGCTTACATTTTTATTCTTTATTTACTTTCTAAAAATCAAAACAGAAAGAAAAGAGATAGGATTAGTCACCTAGAAAGACAAGATATTACTGCAGACGGTGATTCTGCATATTTCCATAAAATGGGCAACGCTGAATTGCTTTTGCTATCATCCAGTGCTGTTACGGGAATCTGAACATATTTCGAACTGTACAGATGTTACTATATAATCGATTTTAAGAATTTTAAAATTATCCTAAATTATAGATTTATTGAAATTTAAGAAATAAAAACTTCTTAGTTTACAAATGTTAACCTCTGGTATAAGCATGTTACTACGCTGCCGCAGTAAAACCTCAGCAGCTCCTGGAGAAGATAATGACATCACTGCAACCGGACAGTTCGTTAATTTGGAAAGTACAGAAATACGATTTACCATATCTGCTTCCAGCTGCAACAGAAACAGAATAGTTGATATAATTAATTCTTTGGAATTTTTGGATTCAAAAAAATTTACAATGGCTTGTTTATCAATTAATTCAAGGATAATATACGATGTTTGGTATTTGGACTCAAATATATAATCGTATCCTTTCACTATGCTTAATATTCCATTCCAGACTAATTTGTGATCAGAAATGTAAAACTTTATCAAGATGTGAAAGAGAAGTAAGGACAGTTAAAGCTACAGTAGCAGTCCTCCTTAAATATTAACATTATCCAATAATGGTTACATTACTGTTTGGTCTTCAGCATCATGTTCCGGAAATTTTCAGTAATGATCTATCATTAAGTTATTGAAAAAAGCAGCAAATAGCATACCGCTTCCGGTCTTGAAAGTTGGAAACATTCCGTGCCACTGACACCAGATGCACATAATCGCTTTTCTAACAAAGCAATGATATCCTTATTTTCCGGAATTATGCGAGCGTGAACTCGAAGAC